ATCCTAAATACTTTACGAACGCACCCTAATTAGATAATAAAGTAACTCAGAAATGGCACAAACAAAAAGAAATCAAAAAAATTACTGGTTATAGCTTGATTTTTCTTCAACATACTTACTTTTTGTTTTTAGGATTTAACACGTTCAGTCCGGGATCAAAATGATCATAATGTATAATCCTGCAGGAAAGATTTTCACGTGACCAAGGATGGTACATCGTCTCCTCATCAACCAAAAAATTTGTCAAGCGTTACCGGTTAGACACGGTTAGACATCATGCTTTATTTCTTTCTATTTAACCAAGTATCTTAAAACGTCCATGGCATTCTCTTTTCTTCTTATCGTATGCATGGGTTACACTACATTTCTTGCCTAGCAAACTTGTCAGTGATCATAGTGAATCTATAATCTAAACACGAGAAATACTGTTGCTTTTACAATGGAGTTATTCCACATGTTACCCGAATATAGCATTGTTATATGTATATTGATGGAGAATGTCCACAGTAAGCCAACTCGGTTTAATCTAATCAAATTGATTGAAAAAAAATTAAAAGCGTTACGAATCGACACGTGTGGCCGAAACGTCAATCAAGATCCACGACCAATAACTTTCCACTTCTAGATACGGGTCTCTCCTTTGCATAATATCGCCCAAGTTTATCTGTGTTGGCCCAATTCGGGTGAGAATGTTCTAAAGAATTCTAAATTCGAATAACTTTATTTAAAAATAAAGCTTTTACCAAGAAACTGGCTGAATAAAATAAAACATGACGTCACGATTTCAACTAAAACCTTCGATTATGCAATGAAATATTCGTTTTTTAAATATTTTTTCCAATTTTTTTTTGTTTCATGAAATCAAAATATAAAAGCTCTACGGGGCCGTAAAATAAAGGCCTGACCATACTACAGTTAAATTACAACTTTCAGGAGACACGTTATAAGACTCCAGGAATCCTTTTATCGTATCTATGGCGTAATCTATGGATTTAACTTTATAGAACTTTCAAGGATATGCCAACAGGGTAAAGTTTAAATTATATTTACAGTCCAGAATTTGTTATTTAAATTTGATACTACGACCATTGACTTACAAATAAATGGACGACGGGCCTAATACAAAAACCACGAAAAAAATGTCCCAAGTCAACCTATTTAAACGTAGTGACATGTAAAGGAATATGAAAAAGCTAAAACGTTGAATTTAAATTGTAATGTCATCGCAGTACTGTCTAATTTTGCTTGCTTCGCTATCAGAAGAAACAAACGAAGACTAAAGCGTGAATAACGCTCTGTATACGATTTTAACGCCCTATAAGTTCGGACACTTTTTAGCGCGGACCCGACGTCCATATAATTGTAAGTAAGACTACGACCATCAATTATCAAGATTTCATAGTGTTTCAAATTATCCATGTGTGAGATTTGGTGACAGCGGGTATGATAATGATCGACACTTAAGAGTCTAGATACTAGCTCAAATGGCTTCGGTTGATTCCGCTAAACAGTGAAGTTGTTGAATCAATCACTTATAGAAAAAACATATAGTAAAATTGAGGATGTAGGTACCCTAATTACTAGTGAATTAAAGTCTATAGTGATAGAGTTGTTGTTGTTGATGTTTCAAATTCTATATGTGTGAGTTTTGGCAACAGCGGTTCTGATAGTAATCGAGGCTAATGGCATTTCCATTGTTTTTTTTGTTCCGTACCCTTAGGGCGCGTTCAAATTAACCTACAACTTTTCGTACAATTTTTAGAAGCGCTGCATTCACGCTCGGTTGCAGTCACGGTTAGTGAGGTGTACATATGTTAATTTTTCAAGTTAACCACGATGGATAAAAATCCAATTGAAGAATTTATATATTAATATTTATATTATAGCAGCGCCAGTTATTCCAATCGACTAGTAAAAAAAGGCATCGGAAAATTTATGTCTAACATTAGAAAGTAACGCACGGATTTTAATACGTTCTGGTATTCTTTTTAATGTTTTCTTCTTCAGAATCCATCGCGTAACTGAGTCAAAAGATAAAACATCACTAAAAATTTGATCGCACTTCGACAGTCGCGCGGCCACGCGGATGCAACGCGCCAGCCGCGCGGCTGCAGCGGTTCTAACAGCGGTTAATTGTAGGCATTAATCTACCGAACTGGCGGGAGTTGCCCTACTTGGTCTTATTATACTATGATAGAACCCTGTCCCGATCGATAGCAGACGAGCACTTGAAGCCGTACAACTGAGAGTATCGAATTATCGACGTCGTGGTGACGATGACGTAAGGACGTCTCTATTACCTTTCTACTATACTTCACATATACTAGACTACTTACGTAAAAGCTGATAAATTACTTTTAGATCCAGAAATTTCGGTGCTTATATATTCTATTGACATTAAACATCAACACGAACATTGATGTCAAAAGACGATTATAAAAGAAAATTCACAACTAATTTATTTGTGGAAACACAGATTGTAAAGTTGACAGTAAGAAAATAAGTTTGTTTTCGCTGTTATAAGTTGACAAGTGTGCCATGTGCCTGTAATTTCACCAGCACCCTTACCCTTCAAAACCGGAACACAGTAACGCTGACGCAAGCGTTGCTGTGGCAGAAATAGGTAAAGTGGCAGTACTACCCTGGACGTAGTCTTTCACAAGGTGTTCTACTGATACTGCAGATATACAGAGTGGAAATTTGTAATGCCACTTGGAAGGAAAGTACGTTAAATACTGGAAATAGAAATTTTTACTTAAAGGAAACATTCCTTTATTTTTAAAAAGAAATAATACTGCATTCAAAGATTTTCGAAAATTGCTAGCCACACGCGGGAATCGAACCTGCTAAAATCTTTAAAAAAATGCACCCTGTACTTTTATTAAATCTTCTAGTTATATATGTATATATATCGCGGATATGGACGTAAACGAATAAAACCAACCACTCGACTTGAAATTAACTCTTCTGGTACACTCCTGATGTAGTCTTCTAAGTCCTATCAAAGTGTATAATAATTGCCAAAGTCGTTAGTAGATGAAAAAACGTGTATTTTTGAATATATTATGGAATTGCATAATGTTTTTTTGTGTTGTATTGCATGTCAAATTTTTATATCGGCAAGTAAAACCTCGCTATATTTATGATAACTCATTCATAATTGTTTTAAATTAAATTGTTCCACAGCGTCTAATTAATTTATTAAACAGTTTAAGGCCAATACTAATCTGTAAAATTTCGTACTATTTCGTCATGTTATTTCTAGGATATTTAATTTGCACTAGATTTAAGGTACCTCCACAATTATATTGTTATAATTATAAATACATAGATCGAACACATTAAACAACAACACAGAAAAATTGCTTCGATCCGGCAGGACTCGAAACCGCGACTTCCTCATACCGTGGCTGCGATTCGTCCCCAACGAGCTACGCTATAAAAGTACAAATTAAGAAAAACTTTTATAAATTTCTACAGAAGGCGCTACGGGAAAAAAGTCGTCAAAACCAGAAAAGTATATCTGCATCAAGCATATTAAGTTATGTTTTCGACTTAGCCAAGTAGGTGTAAGGCTCAAAACCCATTTGTCAGAACGCGTAAGCACTATGTACTCTAAATGGCATATCAACATAAGTACATGTACCTATATAGTTTATTATTATAGTGTCTGTATGTTTGATGCTGAAAACTTGTGTTTGCTGTTTGAAACAACTTTTGATATATGAAGTGAAGTTGAAATCTAAAATATCGGTTAATACGGTTTGTGTCTGATCACCATCTTTTTGCTTTTATGAAATAATGAACCTTCTTAATTAAAACTATTTACGACATCTACTAGCAAATTGTAGCAACTACACCTGTGTTACAGCGACATCTATACAAAAATATTCAAACTGAAAATAATAATATTGCCATTATTCTACCTCAAGTCTTGAATAGTAACTTTTAAGTTTCATGGTTTTCATAATTTCTTTAAAATTCATGTTCTTTAGAAAAAAAAAATATCTATTTACCTTCATATAAATAAACAAATAAATAGTACCGGACAACCAAACCTGGTCTCAAACGGAAATTTCCTGTACTATTGGTACCGGAGCAACAAAATTAACTATGTGGATTAACTACATTGACTTACAAATAAATAGACGACGGGTCTAATACAAAAACCACGAAAAAAATGTCCCAAGTCAACCTATTCGAAATTTAAATTGTAATGTCATCGCAGTATCGCGCTGTCAGTCGAACAAATGAAGACTAAAGCGGTGTTTGGCGCTCTGTATACGATTTTAGCGCCTTACAAGTGCGGACACTTTTTAGCGCGGACCCGACGTCCATATAACTGTAAGTCAATGATTAACTATCATAAATTGTTTGGTTTCTGAAGGGTTTTGAAATGTATGTGACTAATCTAAAATGCCATTCCTACTTAGACTATTGGCTTCATTTTTTTTCTATCCTCTAAGGATTCTTATGTCACGAATTGCAAGCACAATCTGTGATATCGACATTATGCATTGCCGAGATACATTAATGTATTTTGAATACTCAGGCGGACTAAACAACATTGAGAGTAATGTCGAAGAGATATTATCTCGGTTTGTTTTGTCACTTTTTCGAATATCTAATCCATGCTCTATAGGTACTTTAAAACTAGTTAATTTATTAAATTGTAAATAAATTTATTCAGTCCGTTAGCTCACTGCTAATAGGTTATTAAACCACGACGTTTTTGCCCAGGGATAAAGAAGAGTCGCTTTTTGAAAAACTTTTTTAAATTGAAAAAAATAAAAAAGTTGTATTTTTTATACTAATCTCACCGGGAATCGTACCCGGCGTCTCCTCATCTAGCGCTCATGGGTTATCAAATAGTGATTTAAATAATAATTAAATTACTCAAATAGTAAATAATTGTCCAATAATAGTAATAATACGATATGGAAAATGGCAATACCAAATAGCATTGACAAAATTAGACATGGCGTGCGTAAACCGAATCCCTCAGTTTTTACATTTTATTCTTTATTTATCGGTTATTTTATGTTGCTTTGCAAATTTCGTCGACGCCAACCAAGAGCTATATGAGGACAATTGGAAAGAAATCCTTGAAGGAGAATGGATGGTAGAATTGTGAGTATTATTGAACTCGCCGGTATCGGCATTTTTCAAAAACGTGTCAGGCCTAAAAACACCGTTAATTTACTGCTTAAATGGCCGTTAAGAACTTACCAAATCACATTTAACATTACTAATACCCATTTCGCGTTTCTAAACGCACTTTTATAGGTCTATTTTGCTATTTACTTAAAATCTTGGCCGCATAACGTACACCCTAGTGTCTGGGTTCATTAACCATTTACAAGGCCATACCTACTGACTGTTTCCAATACCATGGCAAGGTTTTATGTATTATCTGCTGAATTTTTACGTAAACAACAAGGCCACTGTCTTTACATCCTTAAAAGCTGAGTATTACGTAAAAGGAAGGTATTTTGAAGACTGTAAACATAAATTGTATATTCGCTATGATTTCACTATGAATCAGTGGTTTTTACCTTGTATTACACATGCAATGACCTTACTGACGTATTAACATACTGCACTGCTATTATAATAGTGTTATAACTCAAAATATGTGAAATTATACTATAATTTGATTCTCTACTAGTCAATAAAACCGTCGTTGCAATATTGTAAGAAACAAATGATATTTTTTACTCAATGACACAAATGTTTTCTGAGCTAGTTCTCGACACCTCTCCTTACTCAAAAAAAATTCTTTTTAACATATTTGGCAAGTAGGAAATTTGTCTAGATGTCTGTAATAAACTGTAACATACATTTTAATAATTTTTCATGGGAAATGAGTAATTCGTTTTTCAACTATACTGAATAAATACACTTTTTTAGTTAATAATAATAAGTAGCATCTCCATAACCAGTTCCACTGAATTAAGAACATCTACCTGCAATGAACCTATATAAGATCATTGCCTATCTGCCATCAACGTAATAAATTACAAAAGAAAGAGACTTTGTTACTTACACAACTGCAAAAAGAGAAGGCTTCTCTATTTTCTTAATAATTTATGTGCATAATAGGCCCACAGATGTTGAATTGCAGACACCAGCATGTTACACAATACCTAACCATCTACAAAATTTACTTTGACCAACGTTAGGAATCATAAATTTTTTATAAGAATAATAATTTATTTCTCCACAAATTTTGGCTTCAAAATATTTGTTACAGAATCAGGTTTATTTAATAGAGGACAAATGATCTATTTTAATTCAAAAAAGGTGTCAAAGAACAAGTGTATTGAATCATGCGTGTGTGTAAGTGTGTATGTTTGTGTTTGTGTAGGAAAGTGCATATGTGTAGGTATTTATGTAAATGTGGGAGAGTGTCTGAAAACTTGTGTATTTCTAGAAACTACATCTTCAGTTGAATAAAATTTTCATTGTCATTATAATTTAATGTATTTAGGTAATAATATTTCTTTTTCAATTCAAATATATAGAGGTGTTTGCAATATTAAATTTTTTATTCAATATATCATACAATTTACTAGCTTTTAAATAAAAAAATCTTTGGGCAAAGGATGTTCTAACCGCTTGCAGTGTACATACTTCATAATGTCTTCTATTTTGTTTTTTATTTAAAACAATGGTATTATCAGTATTAGTACATTGACAGAGTACGGTACTCAAACTGCAAAGCTGCATGACTGTGAGTACTCATACAATTGTTTGGTACTAATCTAATTATTGTCTGTCAGAACTTTGTCAGCCAACATTGTCACCCCATCCTTTCTGTTTTTCCTAATATGGGTGTAGAATAGCGCACTTGAGCCTAAAGTTGGCAGAAAATGAGGATTTCCCTTAACAGCTAATTTATGTCCTTGAATATAAACTCGTAGCCAATAAAATACAATAGTTAACCAAGGGTCGTATTCCAGAACTCTACTCAATACTCAAGTCAGGACATGAGTATTGCAGTGAGCACTGAAAATCATACTCAAGTCCTTTCCATTAGGGTCCTATTTCCAGTGCTTCCAATCATACTCAAGTCTGCTCAAATCCTGACTTGAGCATTGAGTAGAGTTCTGGAATACGACCGTTAATGTGCCAGGAAAATATTTTTATTAATTACTTTTAGCTTTCTAGTTTTTTGTATATAAACTTAGTTTAAGTCGCTTTGTACATTATATATTGAATTTAGCGGTGAGGCAGAAGAAAATAGCCACTCTATACTGTTTACAAAGGATCCAATGCACATCCTGACACTTTCGAGATATGGCAGTTTGAAGTTTAAAAGTGTTTCTCACAATTGTTTTATTTTCAAAACTTATAATGTCATGTAACTCCAGAGATATTTATTTATTAGCATGCATAGCATGGCGGTACATCGCATGCTATAAGTGAGAAACCTCCCTGCGTATGCATTTGTCTAGAAACGTGTCCATCTCGTTGCCACTTTAGGCTATTTGAATCTGAAACACAAACATACAAAATATGTGTCATGCTTGGCGGTAACAAATCGCTTAATACTGACTCAAACTGTAATATTGCCATTACGTTATCAATGTTTTAAATCAATTTCCATTGCCATTTTCAAGCCAATTCGAACTTCTGTTAAATATTATTGTTGCAATCATGAAGTATGAAATTCATGATGGCTTAATTATGTATATGTAAAAAAAAAACTCACACGTATCATGTTTTATTAATAAATTAACCCAATTTGAAAAGTAACATTTTTGGGACGTTCACAAAATATTGTTTAAGATATTTATTTCTCGAAAGAATACAAATTCACTTATTGAAAAATACAAGGTACCATAAAATTTCTACAGAGAGTAAGGCTCAACTCACACTGGCGCAGAGTGGAAGCGTCGCGACGCGTCATGTTTTTCCGCTATAGCATATTCAGTTTTCCCATTATTAAGGTACAAATTTGTGTTATACAAATATGGAATCGCATTTGCTTAAAGTGCGGTCCTTGCGCGCAGTGAGGCGTCAGACGCCGACCGACACTGTCATCCGGGCGCGTTAATGCGTACGTCGTCGACGTGCGTTATAAAGTCACACAGCCACCGAAACAATTAATTTATTGCAAACCAAATTTCCCGATCGCATAATTTCACGAAATTCAGCTTTAAGTGGCCAGCTCGATCAAATGATTTAACACCGCTGGATTATTTTTTATGGAGTTATGTTAAAGACAGAGTCTATGCGGTGCCAATCGAATCGATTGCAGGCTTAAAACTCAAAATTCGTGAAGTGATAAACGACATAGACCCACCGTTTTGTGAAAAAGTGATTAAAAACTTTGATGAAAGTATCGACATCTGTAACTGTGATCGTGGTGGACATTTATCAGATATCATGTTTCGTTCATAATTGCCAAACCTTACTTTTTTGATACAATAAAAATTTGTCATCTAAATTTATTGTTTTATTTTGATATACAAAACAACGTTCTTATTGAAAAACCCTATAGTTAAAAACAGGACACAGGAGGACAGGCTTCGTCTCTACGCCAGTGTGAGTTAAGCCTTTATGTGATATGTTGATAAAACATTCAAATTATGTATAAAAATAATTTTTTTTCTTGTTCTAGTAATAAAAAAACCAAAAACATGACTCAATTTATAAATGTTTGAGTAAAATCTTTCTTTTCGGGTCCAAATCGCGTATATTTATTTTTCAATCGGTACTTTCCTGGACAAACTCACAAGGAGCTCTACGCTCTACTACTAAAGTATATAAAACTTTCACGCAAGTGCTGTCATCGCTTTGCTCCATTTTAAAAATGTTTTTTTTTCTTCCAGTTACGCTCCTTGGTGCCCAGCCTGCAACGCACTAGCCCCAACATGGAGCGACCTCTCAAAACGAATGAGACGCAAGCAATTGGGGGTCCGTACTGGAGCTGTTGACGTCACGAAGTCACCCGGCCTTAGCGGCAGATTCGTCGTCACCGCCTTGCCTACTATATACCAGTATGTTTTATTCTTATTATTTTATTTTCATAAAAGTTCTCTCCTGCCGAACTGTCGTAACATACAGTTATTTTATTGAATAACATGATATTTTTACAACCATGATATTATTTAATATTATTTGTGAAATACTCCACTATAGTCTTGTCTTTTGCGTAAAAGTGTTGCCAACTTGCAAGAAGTTAGTGACTGCAGTCGATAAATATTCTATCGATTATCGACTGTATGTTGATCACGTTTATGCATAAGTAAATGTATGTCGACTTGTGTAAGTTCATCCATACACACACTGCACTTAAAACTATGTGTATTAAAAATACAAAGAGAAGACATGTTCAAAAGTTTTTAATTTTAATTCAATATATTTAATGAAATATCCTGTTCTTGTTCAAAATGTGTGTGAATAAAAATGGATTTCGGTCCTAGTAGGCAAACTGTCAAAATAGAATGAAAAAGACAATAACGCTATTAGTAATCTTTAGAACGTCGTAATATTCACAAATCCAACATTTTGGCAAAATGTTACCTTCTTTCACATTCCCATCACAACGCCTTTGCCGTGATTATGGCATTTAAATAATAGAGCGACATCTCTTGTCAGTCTCTGGTACCTGTGAAAGTAACTGGCTGAAACTTTCATAAGTTTCTCACAAAAAAAAAAAAAAAAAGGTGGCGCTAGGATAAAAAAAACTGCAACAGGGACATGGAGAAGACAAGAGCGGTAACCACGGTGAAGCTACAGACCCTGTTTGGAGTCCAATTAAATCAAAAGAATTTTTCTTTGTATTTGTTCTACCTTTGTTTCAATAATAATGTCAAGTAGAGTAACAGGTGTTGCTTCTGTACTTTACGTCTATGGGTTTCATCACAATTATCGACACGGAGTCGCAATCAGTGTTGAGCGTTAATCAATTAAATTCAAATCAGTTCTTTAATTGATTAAAAAAAACTAATTGCAATTAACATTAATTGCATATTGCAATTGATTTTTTCGAATTGATCTATGTTGATTTTGTAATTCGCAATGAAATCAATTGCGACTATTTTTTTAATTATCCTAAGAAACAGTTAAAACTAAGAATTAAAACTGAAACTGCCGAAAAAAAGCGTCAACTATGAGATAAAATCGAAGTCCAAAAATGTAAACAAAGGTGATAATACCATTACACAAAGTAAATAAAAGATCTACTGTGGAAAAAGAATTTGAAAACTTTTACATGATAATGGTATACTAATGGAAAGAGGTACATTGTAACAATATATGATTTCAACGTTTTTTAGCGTAAAGGATGGAGAGTTCCGTCAATACAAAGGGCCCCGTGACGTGGATTCCATGCTGGGCTACATTGAAGAGCAGCGATGGAAGCAAACCGACCCTGTACCTGGATGGAAGGCGCCGAACTCGTTGCAGATGAGCCTCGTCGCCGAGTTCTTTAAACTCAGCCAGGCACTAAGGGTAAATAACTACATTAAAGCTTGATATTCGAAGCGCTCCAAAGTAGTATATAAAGTGGTCCTCAGAGTGCTTCCTAGGACCCTTGTGTATATTTGCGAGATAATTTTAAAATGTTAACGTCCTTGGCGGCAGAGTACACGTATGAAAATATTATTTATATTAACAATAACATCGAGCATATAACCAGAAATAGAGACGAAATGTCATTTAATTTGTTTGAAAACTATTCTGCCAAATCATTTCGGTGACAACTGCGCTCCGATTGGCCAGCCCGAATTCGAAACAATTGACGGGTGTCGTCGATTGTTTCATTTCAAATCGACCAGTTTAAAAAACAGCGCCGTTTTGTAAACCGGCTAGCCGTAATGTAATACGGTGCTTTATACAATACAGCTGCAACATATCAGTATAAATGTTAAACAAGATTCCTCTGCAGCATCGAGTATATAACCAGAGATAAAGACGAAATGTCATTTAATTTGTTTGAAAACTATTCTGCCATATCATTACTGTGACAACTGCGCTCCGATTGGCTAGCCCGAGTTCGAAAAAATTGACGGGTGTCGTCAACTGTTTCACTTCAAATCGACCAGTTACTTGAGCTTTGCTATAATGGACGAAAATTGCAAAATTACATCCCCGGCCGGGTCGTTGTAGGAACTTCAATATTGTCTCGGGTCTGGTGTTTGTGATACCGTCGTTGTTTTCGATTTCCATAACACAAGTGCTTTAGTAGGTAACTTACTTTGGGATCAGAGCAACATTTTTATTTTGTTGTTGTCTAATATTTATTTATTTTTATTTTATTTCAAAAAAATTAATTTTGCCATGTTTATACAGAATGTACACAACATGCTAATGGAGACGTATGGTCTGCCCACGTGGGGCTCGTACCTCATCTTCGCTGTGGGCACCATCTTCTTAGGAGCGCTGCTTGGTCTGGTAAGTTTTGCATACTTTAAACGTTAATAATACCGTGCTGTGACAAAATACTATATAAAAATATTCATGCATTTCTTGGCTAACCGGACCTTATGCTATTACAGATAGTGTACTCTATATTAATGCAATATTTTACAGTGTTTTAAGCAATTTTTATAAATTTATATCACTGGTTTGTTATAATTATTAATACAAAGATCAAACACTTAGAAAAACGTCCTTCGATCCGAAAGAAGAGAAGAAATAGATTTTTAACCATTGACTTACAAATAAATGGACGACGGGTCTAATACAAAAACCACGAAAAAAATGTCCCAAGTCAACTTATTCGAAATTTAAATTGATATGTCATCGCAGTATCGCGCTGTCCGTAGAACAAATGAAGACTAAAGCGGAGTGTCGCGCTCTGTATACGATTTTAGCGCCTTACAAGTGCGGACACTTTTTAGCGCGGACCCGACGTCCATATAATTGTAAGTCAATGTTTTTAACAGATAAAAAACACAAAAGCAAATATCTGCCACAAGCATATAGAAAAATTCGTAAGGTTTATTTTTTTATGTTACCAAGTGAAGGAACTAACAATTCATGCGCCTGATGGTAAACGACAAGCCTGTCCATAACAGTTGCAGTGCCACTCAGAGCTTTAAATTGCAAAGATCTGACTGTCACTCACTGCCTCTGCGCCCATCACCCTAAGACATAGTTGACGAGTCTCGTATGCCTGTAATTTCACCAGCACTCTTACCCTTCAAAACCGGAACGCAGTAATGCTCACATTACTACTTGGCGGCAGAAATAGGTAATGTGGCACTACTTCCCTGGACGAACTCTTTCACAAGGAGCTCTACTGCTACTAAGGTCTGCTGGTTCATTCTCTGGCTTAATTGGCAGAGCATCTGGCACGGATTGCCTGAGAGCGCTGGTTCGAATTTATTTCGATCTTCGTTATGATAATTATAACAAAACAGTGGAGTCATTTCACAAAAAAATAATTTAAAATCATGATAGTAGAACACCGTGACATTTAATAAACTTAAAAATTGCACATTTGTTTCATTAACATTCTGTATACAACTCTGCCACTGTCCAAATAAGTACACGTATAATATCGTCGCCTTACTAAAAGTAAAGTTTAAAGTTTTGTCATCTCCTGAATTATCCCTCTTTAAAAGATACGAGTTTGAGAAAGGAAAGCATCGATATTTGCCTGCTCTTAATAATGAAAGTTGTTTCCAGCTACTAGTATGTATAATTGACTTCCTGTACCCGCCGCGGCGCCCGGACAAAGTGTTCGTATCACAAGCGGAAGCGGATAAACTACTGGAGAAGAAGGAAGAAGAATTGATCAATGACGACATTGTGGACGATGCAGAGAAAGACAGCGATGAAGAGAAGAACTCACCTCCTGATGTAAGAACTTTTTATTCGAATTTTTTATTTTTATGATAATACCAAATGACGGGAGGAACAAGTCTTGCGCCTTGTGGTAGGTAAGCTACACGCCTGACCATAGTAGTTGCAGTGCCACTCTTATGGGCGACTAATTTTTTTCAGGATGGCTAATTCAAAATGGCGGCCCGAAAAAAAGTGGTCCGACCCCATTGACTTACAAATAAATGGACGACGGGTCTAATACAAAAACCACGAAAAAAATGTCCTGTCAACCTATTTAAACGTAGTGACATGTAAAGGAATATGAAAAAGCTAAAACGTTGAATTTAAATTGTAATGTCATCGCAGTACTGTCTAATTTTGCTTGCTTCGCTGTCAGTCGAATAAACGAAGACTAAAGCGTGAATGATGCTCTGTATACGATTTTGACGCCCTATACGTTCGGACACTTTTTAGCGCGGACCCGACGTCCACATAATTTTAAGTCAATGTCCGACCCGATTGAAATGTGGCATCCGGCCGTCGATGGGAGTCCACAAAACGAATCTGCGGTCAAAATTTTGAGAGCTTTAAATCACAAAGATCTGAGGGGCCTCTGCGCCCGTCATATTGAAACATAAGTTGACAAGTCCCGTGTGCCTGTAATTTCACCAATACCCTTACCCCTCAAAGTCGGAACGGCAGAAATAGGGAAGGTGGCAGTACTTCCCTGGACGAACTCTTTCACAAGTACCTCCACTGCTACTAAAAAGTTAGTATCTCGAAAAATAGCCAATTCGGAAGTCAACGGGAAATTTCCGCCGTGAAGCGAGATTTGGTTAAGACAGTAAGCGCCTAATTTACATACAATAAATGGTTTCTATTTCTATTTCTAATTTTGTATATTTTTAACCGACTTTAAAAAGAAGGAGGTTCTCAATTCGACTGTATTCTTTTTTGTATGTACGTTACGCGATAACTCGGCATATAATAATGGCATTTGTGAACCGATTTTGAGGATTCTTTTTTTTTTTTGAAAGATGGTACCTCGGTAGTGGTCCCATTTAAATTTGAATGCGACTGCCTCTGTGGCCGAACGGTTACCATGCCGGACTGCCACGCAGAGGTCCCAGGTTCGATTCCCGGGCCGGGAGAAATATTTATATGGCCTACATTTATTTCTCTCGTGAGTTTGGGTGTAATTTGTGGTTGTCTATGTGTGTGTCCATAGCACCCGCGACACAGGGTTTCCCTAGTGCGGGGCTATGTTGAGTGTGTGCGTTATTATTATTATTTAAATTTGAAGAAAATATTCCACCTCGAAGGGTGGCAAACTAGGGGATGAATCCGATTTCGCGCGAACTTTCCGGTAACCGATTCCAATAAAACTTGGCAAATATATGTAATTCTCTATAATAATCTGAGTTTGATTGCCATTGAGACGGGCTACATCTCGCTCGTTATTTTTCGCCGCCCGCCGTTATGACTGGTTCGGTAATATAATTTATTAGCGTATTTCCGCTTCAGCCATATAACATGTATGTAATTATGTGCGCGTTAGGACTATGTTTCTAAATTCAAAATTTCAATCTGTCCAAATCTTTTTTAAAAACGAAATCTTGCAAACCATTTTTGTTTTTACAATTCCAGACTTCTGAAGACGACGATGAAAAACAGGTTTCAGAGGGCGGCGGCGACAACGAGCGCGCGACGGAGGTGCGCAAGCGACGCCCACGCAAGGCCGACTAGACCCCGTGCTCGGCGGTGAGCTTTAAAGGGATCGGGAAAGATACGACGCGAGCATCGTTAGCAATATGGAACGGCACGTGATCATAGCTCACTATTACACTGGTGCAGGATCTGAATTGGAAAAATAAGTAAATTAACTTGAATTTAGTACAGAAAAAGAATTTGAAAACAAATCTAAATCTCTTTTATTTCTTAGATAAGCAAATTGCAGTTAAAATGACAAACTACTCAACTATAAGACAGTTTTTCATGAGAAGAATAAGGGGTTACGCTTTGTAAATAAATATTTGTTCTCAAACAACTGCTAATTACCTTCCAACACTCGGTGCCTACACGCCTGAAGGTCAAGGGTTTCTTGTAACGCATGGCATACGTGTTTTCGGCATTATCAGTATTAGAGTTCACATTTTAGGGTCAAAACCCACCCTACCAGTTCGTATCAGAATTGCGCTGATTGATGCAGACGACTCTTCGTACAATATTTCTTTAGAACCTTAGTTTGCTAGCACAGTTAAAAAAAATCATTATATATATATAATAATAATAAAATAATTGATTGTTAAATTAGTGGAAAAATTTGATACATGCTTAAAAGTTACTATTCACAACTCTCATTGGGCCAGCGTAGTGGGCTATGGCTTGCGTGAGGCTTCATATTGTAAGGCTGTAATAGAAATTGATTTTCATTAATAACAAATTTGGGAAGTCATAAAAATTCCTATCATAAGTTTTAAAAAATCCTTCAAGTGCCTATCGTTTTATCGGATTTTGCGCGTAATGCAGACCTGTACTCCCATGACTTTTTTTATTTGATGCGAGCTAAATTTGAAAGTAATTTTAGGTAACACGCCGACCGCTTAAGTGAGTCGGTTGCTGAGGTAGCTGCACAGTGCGGGAGGGATGATAGTTTACGTAACACTTATGGCACGCTGCACACGAGATATTTCAACAAAAATGTTTCTGACTATATTCAATAACAAGTTGATTTGAAAAAAGTACCAAATGGCTTATCTATTAATTTTAATTATCCTTGAAATAGTTTTTTTTTATTATCGTTTCACAGAACAACAATTGACTAATTCGGTAGGCACTTTATTCAATCAAATTTCTATTTAATAACGTTAGAATAATCTTGATGAAATTATCCAGATTACAGCGCGACATAACTGTTACACACACTGCGACAAACGCGATGCAGTCGCTAATCGTCTACCTATACACACGCACGCGATTTTAAGCAGCTATGCAAACACGATACAAGCGCGCGACTGCATCGGTACAAACGCGCGATTGCATCGCTGCTAAAGTCGCCGTGTGTAACCACTCTTACGTAAACTCAGTTGAGCGGTAGGCCTGTAGTTTGTTAATACAAAAAAAAATTTATGAGCAGTCATCTTTTAAGTTTCGCTATCTAATCAAGTCACCCACGTTTATCTTATGAATTAAATATAAAGATTTTTATATACACTCACGGTTTAGGGATACGGCATCACTATTTGATGTGGTTAATGTATTAAAAAACCTGATTGACTTACTTAGTCTTCAAATTAAGCATCTAGGATTAATAAACAGCTCATTAACCCGGTCACTCGTATCTCGAGACGCATTTCAAACTCACCTGTGTTAATTAAATATAATCCCTTAAGTGATACCATCTCAAGTAACCAAGACTCAACAACTTGATCGATTAGGACTACAGACTTATAAGACTCTAGACAAACAGACTGCATCAACTGCACTCTGTCTGCAAATTTGCAGTTTGAATGCAGTTCAAATGCAGTTGAACCAACTGCATTTTATACTAGTTTATAACAAAACCCATAAAGGACTATAACCATACGAAACACTATGGTACGGCATGTAACACAAACCTACCTTTTTGAAGTCACCCTACTGTGTGGTCCGCCGTAAGACACTGCTAATATAAAGATCAAACTCGGCACCACGTCCATTCTACAAGCAGATTATAGATGGAAAGTGTTTATCAAACGCACCTCTAATAAACGTGCTATGAGGATAATATGTGCTCTGTGCTGATACCGTGTTGTAAGGTTTGACACTAAGTGTGTTTGTCAATCTTTGGAATATCCACAACATAGGGGTGGAACCCAAGCCTACGCCTAGTCCCCCGGTGATGGAAAGGGGAAGGAGGAATTAAATCCTGTAATTCCATCGCACACTCTCCGTGATATATCCTGTAAAATACCGATAAGCAGGCAACTTTACGGCGGCGTTCAAGGCTCTGCAGCTTCGCCTCCACTAATTCCAAGTCACCTATAAGCCCTCTTTGCACGGTTGTCAATTGAATCCAAAGTGGCCAGTTGATATGCAGCAGAGCGATCCCAAAGGTGGCAGCAGTACTCCATGCACGATCGGACTTGTGCTTGGTACAGCTGAAGCAACTGTCCCGGTGTAAAGTGACGCCTCACCCTGGAAAGGACCCCAAGTTTCCTTGCTGCATTTTTGGCCATGGATTCAATGTATCTGCCGAAGATCAAATTGGACGATAGGTCCATTCCAAGTTGCTGGAGACAGTCGGCTATCGGTATGGATATATCACGAAAAGTCACGTTGTAACTGGAATTAAACTGTTCGTTCACTTTACGTTATAGATGTCAGATTATCCATTAATAATAACGTTTGACAAGTTATAAGAGATCTTGTCATATTGTAGATTTTTAAATAACTAATCTCGTCTAACAACAACACGAACAGTGATGCCAAAAGTCGATACTAGATATATAGATAGATACCAATTAAAGGTCTAAAACCAACATGTCAGCCTATATATATATCGTCTGTCGGCAGGAAAAAGGGATAACGGACACTTGCCTGGAAAATGAGTTAAATGTTGGATAATATTAGAAGACCCATCACTTAGCCTTTTTTGCTTTTTAACTTCGATATCTAATTTACCATTCACACACCTACTAAAAACGACCAGCAGCAGGAACCAATACATTCAACAGTTATAGATGTATCAAAAATTGAACCCAAAGTGCATGCCGATAAGGTATATTTTGTAAGTAATAGGGTATGGATAAATGAGAAACAAACTGAATTTTGGGTACAATTTTGCACGTGTTTAAACACCTGTTGTGGTCACCCCTTTAGATCCTGGTATCGGAATACCAAATTATGTGTTTAATGCATTCTTTTCCTATTATGTCACAATTATATTGTGTACGCCTTTTGCATTTATTCACAAATGTTTATTTTTCGCACCAAAATGTAGTTTTTATTGCTAATTAGAATATAATGGATATATGCAACAAAAAATGTAATAGTAGGTAATGAAAGCCTGTATTGTAACACTTGTAGGTGGGGAAACTATCGGTAGTCGACACTCGATCATTGGTACTATTGCACAAAGTATCGATAAACTCTTGATAGTGTGATTATAATCTGATCATTTATGCTAGTTCGCGACATATACCATGTGCCGTTTCCTTAGGATACAGTGCGCGAGTAGTCGATTTTATACGGAAACTGCATTAAAACGCAGAGGGCGTGTTTAGCTCATAATTTTTTGTCATTTGTCACCCAAAAGTAAACTTTACTCGAGAAACAGCTGAATAATTGAGCGTAGTGAAAACATTTCGTGTGCTCTTCGCTGCACTACTACCTAACTACCTAAGGCGCGCTTAATTTTTAGGCGGCCAGACTGTATCAAAACTACACCGCTGCCAATCGCCGTTCAGTAGGCTTGAAAAATCTCTGTCGGATACGTAAATTATACATTTTTTGAGTACTTATAAACCTAAATACATACATGAATATTACTAGGTATATACTACCAGTGATACATTTTACTAATTTTATTTTCTAAAAATTCGACTTACACGCATCCACTGCTGGACGTAAGCCTCCCCTTGAACACGCCAACTCTCCCGGTCTTGTTCCGCCCTCGTCATCGGCCATTAACCCTCTTGCAGACAGGTCCATTTCTAAATTTCAGATAACAAAAACTAGATAATCAGCGATTTTTTAAGCCGACTGTGCACAGCAGTATGTAGCTAGAGAAAAAGTTTGTCATTTTGTTTTCTTTAGAAAAATAACGTTTAGCCTTATGAATTATACTATAAATTACATATTTTCAAGTATTTATAAAATATAAAATGTTAATAGCAGACAGAATTTATCAATATGTTATTTAAAGCACACGCGCAATTATTACATATATATTATTATTATTATACACTAACGACGTTATTACGGTTTTTGATGTGACGATTTACTTATAGACTGGTTAAATATTGATGTACAACCCTATTCCACAATGTGCTAGCATGCACTTAGAATTCTGCTTAGTTTCATAATCTTTCTTTTTTTCTCTTTTCGGGCGCCTTCGAATTAGGCGCGACTATGGCGCTGCAACTGCGCTTCTAAATATTGTATAACTTTTTTATTAAAAAAAACGACCTCGAATGTTAGTGTAATTAACATCTATTTGCCAAGTTTTATTGGAAAAGGTTACCGGAAAGTGCGCGAAACCGGATTCATCCTCTAGTTTGCCACCCTTAGAGGTAAAATATTTTCTTCAAATTTAAATGGGATCAATATTGAGGTACCCTCTTTCTAACAAAAAAAAACAAATTCACAAAAAAAGGTTCAACGGTTCACAAAAATAAAAGAGTTATCGCGTAACATACATACAAAAAAAACACAAATTCAGTCTCCCTTTTTTTGAAGTTGGTTAAAAATTAGTAGCCTCGCGGTTGCAGCGTTTCTATGAGCGTCGTAATTCGAAGGCGCCCTTAATGCAATTACCAGAATTTTTTGTTTTTAGTCTCATTTTACTAACCTTAACGAAAAGAATTATTCTTTGAAAAAAAAACCGTTGATTAGTTTTATTTTTTTTATAACTTCAATGAATTTATTACAGAACACACACTTGGGAGATGTGAAATGAAGTGAAATTATGTAAGACTTTTTTAAATATTGACTTTTTTGTTCCTCTATCACATTCCTTATACGCTCAAAATGTTTAATTTTATTATAAACGATCTTTTTCTAGACATTTCTTTAAAATAATTTGTCCAATATTTATATGTATTTATTTTTACTTAAAATACTCAATTTATTATGCATTTCTGTATTATTAAATATAATTGTATCTACCATTTTAGTATCTGGAGTTGTGACTTATTTTTAACTATTCATTTTTATTTAAGTTAACTAAAATGCCCGTCGAAATATTGATAACCTACTTATTAGAAATAATATTTTTTTCATGTAATAAATAAATAATGGTCAATGGTAATCAATGGGTGAAAAACGAGAATTAATTTATTAATTTCATCATTATTACACTTTATATGACTAGTTTAGATAATTGGGAGATGTGGAATTTCGATATCATATTCAACGTACTGACCACTCAACTGCAAAAATTCAGTTTATGTGCAGTTCTCTAGCAATTAGCGTGCAGTAGTGCCAACCGAGTCGAGCAAACTGCACAGAAATTGCAATTTCACAAGTGAAGTACAGTTTAAATGAACTGCATTCCCTAATTTTTACAAACCATAAACATTTCACAGTAAATGATTATATTTTTTCCAAATGCACATAGTTCTTGTTTTTCACCATAGGGACTTGTTGAACACAAAATTGCCTTGTACAAAGACTTGTGATTGTTAAGTGTGGCGTTTGTATTAACTGTTGGCCTAATAAACTAGCTGAATAAAATTGTATTTATAAAAAAAAACTCTTCTTTTACTTCTCATTTTCCCCGTTATATCTAACATCATTACAAACTGACATCAGCTTAGGAAACCTAAGACGGGTCTTACACGGTCAAAATTGGTCGCGAGTGTTTTCACATGGCATATTCCGATGTCAAAATAATCGCGTCTTTGAAATAGACTAATGAAGTAAAAAAAATCGTCAATTTAGTCGGCTGTAGTTGCAAAAAACTAGATTTCAATATTACACTTGTAAGTTTCAAACGGCGAACCGACTAAGTCCAGTTTTTTGTGACTAGATGACTTACCCTGACTAGTCAACCTAGGATAAGGCAAGTAACGTACGCAAGTTTAAGGGAGCTGCAAAAGTGGCGCCACTTTGCAAACTAGATAATGTATGTAAATTAGTAGCACAGTAGCGCAAAGTCGCGCTTCTACAGACCTCTAACAGCAGCCTAAAACAACGCACAATGGCCGGGCCTTTAGTGTCGTTAATGGTTCACAGACATTTAAAGATTTTAAAAGCATTCTTTGACTAGAGAGATCAGCGGTAAGCGTAACAAATTTTACGGAGTATCAGTCAGTACGCTGTACCTATCTGAGCGCATGTGCTTGAGTTGCATCTATTTACATATCAAGCTTGTCTGTCAGACAATCTGTTCAGATTGTAAAGGTGGGTACTGACAAGCGTTACGGGGCGTAATGTAACGTGTTACACAGCGAGCGTTCGTGCAGCCAGTACGGGCTAACAAGACGCTCGCTCTCTATCGGTTTTTTGGCGAACCCTGTGTGTTACGCACTTTAGTCAATAAGTCGCAGCGAGTCGTCACGAGCGCACGTAGCACAAGCGTCGATTTTAGATATTATGAGCCTTTTATTAGTTGTTAAAAATATAGAGTGGGACAAAGAGAAAACCATGTATTTCATAGACAAATATAAAGAACTGTTTTATGGAACCCGGGTCATCTGGAATCTTATTTGGATTAAACAATAATTGAGTAAAAATAAAGATCCCAACAAAACTTCGTGGCAACGAAACGGGAACACAGGTAAGCAAAGAATTCGAAACGAGCGAGTTACACGAATTTTAGTACGCGGCGTAACGTATCATGCTCGATGCAAATGATACGTTACTCCCCGTAACGCCGGTCAGTACCCACCTTTACATTCAAGATTAATCCTTTCCACGTTTATCTATTTTATTATTTGCTTAGTGAATTTGTACAAAATTCTGCATAATTTGTGTGAAGAAACTTTGACAAAATTAAATACTCTATAGTTCAAATACCTTTCACAGGAGCTGAATATGTTGAACTTTTGGCCTATAAATTCTTGCAAGCAAAATTAAGCTCTCTCAACCACGACAGTACAATTTAAATTAAACGTTCTAAGTTAAGACTATAGTGAAACAAAAACTTTATACTAAAGGTTCTTACAACTTCTGAGTACTTGGATGACAAAAATCCGTGGTAGTAACCCGTTTAGCTCATGGAGGTAGTCTCGATCTCTGATGTTACAAATAAAAAAAAATATTGTAAATGTTATTTACAAAGAGCAACCCCTAGAGTTTCTTGCTCATTCTTCTCAGGGGAATCTGCCTTACGAATGAGCGGTAGAGTTTAACCATTGTGACGATTTCAAGTAATAATGCTTACCTATGAAATAAAGATTATATTGAATTTGAATTAAGAAATTCAAGAGAATTTCTTGTAAGTTACTGCGTTTATTTTTTCGTGGTTTCTGTGATAAGGAGTAAAAGGATGACACAAAAAAGTAGACGTACAAAAATATTTTGTTTATTGTTGTTAATGTATCTTAACGATAAACAAGTACTAAATTCTTACCTTAAATAACTCAGATAGGTACAAAATTGAATTTATGTTCTAGTATACTGTGATTGATTTCCTGCTAGGAAAATATACTGGCAAGAATAGTATGGCATAAATGAACCAAGTACCTGAAGAGGCGAGATTATAAAGTACAACAACTGCAAAATATATTTTCTAAAGTAAAATTTACAACGTAATTGTAAAAACTTTCGATATCGTTAAATGAAATAAATGTCATCATGTCAAATTCAACTGTAACACTTATAACGCTTACCTCTTTCGGTTCTTGAAATGTTCTTAATAGCAGTTTTATAAAAGGTTAACAAGTTAATTTCGAACCCTGAAATTGTGGCACTGATAATATGCCAAAAAATATTTTTTGAGATATCATAAAAAACCATAATCCAGTTTTATAATATTGAAATTGTTTAATATATCAACTATGCATCGTTATGGTAAGTTCCGATAAGCGAACACGTTAACTGTATACCTGTTTTTTGAAAGAAAATTTTGTGCTCTATTTTTTGCAATTTAAAACACGAATACTTTATAATTCCGACGTGGCGATGATCCACTTATAAAGATGTCAATAAGAGTGAATGAAAGTCTTTTTCGCATAATTATGGACATAAAGTTTTTTCTGACCGGCAACTTGTCAATATGTAATAGCCATCGGTGATGGTTGAAATTGAACTGCACGTATCCACGAGTATAATTATGCAATTCTTAACTTTTACTAAAGTGAGATTCAAAATCTATTACACGATAAAGATCAATTTTGAATAATGTGTTCTAGGTATATAATTTTGCTGCTAAAATATCGTCCTTCTCGTATATACAGAAAAAATGTACACACAAAGTTGATACTTGTACCATTTAGGGGTATCGTATCTATCAAAAACCTTTAATAAGTCATAATCACACCAATATGGCTTGGTTTCAAACCCATAAATCCTTGTACAGTGATTACCTTACCAGCAATACTAACTCTCCGGGGGCAATATACAGAACACCTAGAGAACCAATAAGAAATGTTCTATTCCTAGATTGGTCCAACCGAGAATCAGACCTGGGACCTCATCGTTAAACGTCTAGAATATCTTTTGTAACCAATCCATATTGGGAATAAATGTGCTTCAATAGTGAAGGTTTTAAACTATCCAGTGCGCGGAATACGGTACTTATAACAGCAAAAATAAAAACTAAACGACTTCAGTTTCACGTGTGGATACAGTGAGAGTGGTTTGTCCGGAAAAAAATACTGACAATGGTGACACCGCAAAAAATATTGCAACTTCAATGTTTCGACTGAAGGATTTGAATCCGTGGTCATTAAATACATTTAAAAAATAAAAATATTTCAGCTAAAGGACTAGATTCCAATGTCATGATATAAATATAAAAAATCGAGATGAAGCTACACGGCCGTATTCTAGAACTCTACTCAATGCTCAAGTCAGGATTTGAGTATAGTTAAAAGCACTCGAAATCATACTCAAGTACCTGCCATTAGGGTCGTATTTCCAGTGTTTCTGTTTCCATTGCAATCCTGACTTGAGCATGGAGTAGTGTTCTAGAATACGACCCTAAGAGTCGTATTATATAACTCTACTCAATGTTCAAGTCAGGATTTGAGTATGGTTTAAAGCACTCGAAATCATACTCAAGTCCCTTCCATTAGGGTCGTATTTCCAGTGCTTGAAAGCATACTCAAATCTTGACTTGAGTATGATTCAAAGCACTAGAAATCATACTCAAGTCCTTGCTATTAGAGTCGTATTTCCAGTGCTTGAAATCATACTCAAGTCTGCTCAAGTCAGGATCTGAGTATGATTTCAAGCACCGGAAATACGACCGTAATGGCATGGACTTGAGTATGATTTCGAGTGCTTTAAATCGTACTCAAGTCCTGACTTGAGCATTGAGTAGAGTTCAGGAATACGACCCTAGGGGTCCATATACAGAGTATTCTGTTCTGTTCTGAGTTCTGGAATACGACCCTTAAGATGGTAGACAGTGGTGCTGGATTAAGTGATTTTTCGCCATTTAGGCTAAAGAAGTGATCGGCGACTCGGCAATATTTAGGCTATTTTTGATAGGCGATTTTAGGCTACTTAATAAAATGTCTGAGGAATTACAAACTTGATTTTGTGGAGAATGGAGTTTCAAAACAATTCATTTGGAGCTTTGAGCATTGGAGGAATAAGAGAATTCATATTCCCCAATTCCTTGCAGCGAGCAAAATTGCTTTCCTTGATTATCAGGGATTTTATGGGTTGGGCGAACATTGGCTACTTAGCATCCATAAATTAGCGAATTAATTATGCAAAAGTCTAACAACACTGATGGTAGATGTCAGTTCTTAAAGCTGTCAACTGCACAGATTTCTATATTGCATAAACTGGATCGCGCACTTCGATATACCAATATTACAAATTTACACCTTATTGGGTTACGTTAGGGTTTATTTTAAGTAAAAGTAAAAAAACGAGTCACGTGAGACAGCTCGAAGTAGTGGTCTGTCCTTGTCTAACATGTTGCCAACGCTACATAAAATAATCTTAGGTAGTGTCTAGTCTATTAACTTTTTTAAATTTCGGTTAAATAAAATTAACTTAAAGGTGAACCTGCTTTTACTGTAATAATACAAAATATATATATATCAACAAAGAAACCTTCTATTACGAAGTAGCATATCAAATAATATTATTATTATTATAAATATTATTATAATAATATTAGTAGTTTTGGTCAGCCATAAGCGGCCACATTTTCTGTAAGAATTAAAAAGTTAAAAACAATATGGCTGGCTGAAACATGAATGACCACCCTATTAGAAAGAGACGCATTACTACTTTGAAGCCCCTCACTTGTCTCGTTTTATCAACTTAGTGCGCGGTCCAGTTTAATATACAAGTCCGTGGTCAACTGTTGTTAATTTTAAATTAAGAGGTTGACGTTCTCTTTATTCTTTACTTTCCCTAACTCCCTTAATTCCAATTACAGATTAGTGTATGCCATCGATGCGATAAGATGCTTTTTTGGATTTTCGATTCTTGTGATATAAACTATTATGTAAAGGCCATTATTGCTATCATAGATCAAGAGATATGTAACACCCAAATGGTACAAGTATGAGGTCGATTTTTTCAGAGTTATATAATGTGCCAGTGAACCACACCTGGGGGTTTACTCTCGTTCTCGTCAAGTATTAATCTTCATGCGGGTCATTGTGTTTTTTAATGTGTTCGAGTATCTCTTATTTGACATTAATTGTTTCGGGCGGATGTTGGACGAAGAACGAGAGTATGTGCCCTGATCTCAAACTGGGGCGTTCCCTAGATTATCAGACCAACGGAATGCACTCTGGGGCATTACCCAGAACACCCAGACCAGAACCAATTTAGAAAAGTTCGTTGTCCAAATTGGTCCCACCGGGAATCGAACCCGGGACTTCCTCAATGAGCGCCCATAGTGCTAACAACCATTAGGCCCCCGAGGTCGTCAATCTAAAATAAAATATAAGTTAAGAGTACATATTTATAAAATTAATACTGATTATATAACTTAATTGTTATGGTAGTTAAATGGCATTATTTACAAAAAAATTACGCATAATATAATTTAGTTAAAAAAAGTATTTGACCCGCATTTTTATGCAATAACTAATTATAATACAACCAATTTAAAATTATTAACTAAAAATTACAATTATGTTGCAGTAATGCATTAGTATAAAAAATGTTTTTTTGTGCTAAATATATATAAAGTTTATTTTAAAAATATATAAGCACCTTATTTATTACGCTATGGTCTTATAAGGCACAACGATTCTATTCAGTATACAGAGTTCGAATCGATTAGTCAATATTTTGAAAATTATCTTAATTAGACGATAATTATCGCCAGATTTTAAATTGGTCACATATTTCGATAACTATCTTAATTAGACGATAATTATCGCCAGGCTTTAAATTAGTAACATATTTTGATATATATCTTAATTAGACGATAATTATCGCCAGACATAATTCTTGATAGTTTCAAACCCTGCTAGTGTGGTATGTTTTAAAACTTGTTGTTGATTCAAACTGTTGAATTATCAAGTTCACCTAGGACAGGTATGGTCCAGGGCCCATAAATGGATTGTCTCGTGACGTCACGCGCAAGACAACCTGTTTACGAACCTAAATTCTATATGACAAATGTACATTTGTTATTACATTCTGAATTGTGCTATGGCACGGTAGTTAAGAGTCAAGCTACGCTCGGCACTCACAAACAAAACCAATATTGTATTTTATTTGTTCTGAATTTTGTTAATCATTTCTATTGCTCTTATTGTTTTAAATAGAAAATTACGGTTACCTATCAGTAGTCCGAAATGACATTTCCCAGAAATAACATTTGCTCGAATTTTCATAAATTCGAAAGTAATTTTGAGAGGAAAATGTTTTTTTTCTTTTAAACCTAACCGAACCTAATCGTGTACTTGCGATAAACATCCAACATATCCTGAAAGAACAACGTTTTCTTTATAATTCGGTTTTCGGTATAATGAAAATTCGAACAAACGTTATTTCGAAATAAAAAAATTCGAGTTTGTTACCGAAAATTACCGTGAGACTCACATATTGATTAAGGACAACTGACTGAAAAAATCTCATTAAATACGTGAGGTAGCCTTTAGTTAAGTTAATATGTTTATATGTGTGTAGTTGCATTTAATTTGAAATAAATTAATGATTGACAATCTTAAACACGTCCTCACACAACTGCATTCTGACTGCAAAATTGCAGTTGCAAAAATTGCAATTGTTTCCTCATGTTCGATCTTTAAACATCCATTGTCCAAATGATATATTTGCCATATAGATCACACTTCATACGCAAGGAGTGAACTTTATATGTTATTGATAGAAGACTCGATCGTAATTTTATATGGTAGTATCCTTCTAAATCCTGTATTTATTAACTAAAGGAAGACCGCATTTTATTAAAATTACGTATTACAATAACTTATTATAACATTATACTACAAATATAAATAATTTAAAAACTAATTTAATTAAACTAAATTAAACCAATTATGATTTTGGAATGTATATAGAATGGCAGTCTTTTGCATAGAATCAGAGAATGTACATAAAAATATATTTGCAAAATCAAAAGAGATGATTCTGAGGCTTCTATTTCAAACTAAATCTATTTAACGTATTTACAATTATCTGTTATAGTCTGCACACAACTAGGTGGCTGTTAGCCGAGAATGGAAAATTCTTTGACACTATCAATGAATATTCTGACCTTCATTAATACCAACACGACCATCTAGTTGTGTGCAAATTTTAGTTCAAAAAGAGAACTTTTTAAAATATTGTTGACATAGTTTTAAATACATGTACAACAGAATATAGTTTCAACAATTGTCTCTTTACTGGCAGAAAATCTGCATATAGAAATTCCCATGGTGAAGATTCATTTCAACATAAACATACAAACATTTGATTTTCAGCTAAATTCATTTCCCTCATACAAACTTTCACATACTTCCAACAACCTCAGTACAGGACTAATATTGTACGGGAATAACGATTTTGATACCAGACGACTGATTTGCAACCGTAACCTTATAAGCACCCTCATTGTATCATCAAGACCTCTGGTCCCACCAGAATCGCTTTGTTGACACGTTTCAAGGAATTTTGGCCAATTCCTTCTTACATATTTCAAGAATCTCAATAAATACAGCAAGAAACATGTTTCATTGCTCACTAGGTAATCAAGTAAGACATCACTATCATGAGAAACAACTTTAAGGAATTCTATAAATGAGGCAATAGGGTTTAACATCGGAATTAGATCCGGATACATAGAATTCCTATAGACAATTCCAACAGTAATATCAAGTGTACAGACCATAGATTCAATCAAATAATCATCCTGTTCGCTAAACAAGTGAATGAGCATTTTTGTGAATGGCGTTTCCGGGTGGAACTCCAAAGAATTACGTATAAAAACATCAAGCTTTTTCAATACATCTCTTATTGATCTTTCCACAATTTGCATGTCTTGTATTGCATTGTAATCTGATGAATCAATAGAGCTGTCTGATGAATCACATCTCATTTCTTTCACTGTGACTGCAATTGATTTTAAAACCAATAAGGACATTCTCTGTAACATTGTCTTATCAACCTCATTTCTCGATTGATTTGAATCCTCATTGTCATAGTCACCGTAGCTTTGATCCACCAGTTGAATGGTTGATAATGGAGCCACATCAGGAACTAAAGAATAATCCCTGATGACATTACAATCATGTCCGAGAAACCCAAACCCACTTCTACTGCTTTGGACTCGTACTTCACTCAACAATCTAAAATCTTTCACAAATCTGACTATAGAATGAGCTAGGCTACAGATTTCTTCAGGGAGAATATCTTGTAAAGCCAACGTTGAACCGTAGCAAAGTACCTCATTAAATAAACTTAATAAATGAGTGTATATCAAACTCGGTAGCATTGTATTTCTCAATAAATCAACAAAACTTTGTAAGTCCGCGTAAAAAGGTTTTGTATCAATTATGGAGAGATTCGCTTTTACACTGATTATATTCTCCCATAAAGAGAAAAATGTAAGTATGCAATTCTCAGCATTAGCTAAATTCAGGTACCTTAATAATAGGAGCTTCATATTTTTCACTAATACAGGCCAATGGTGTTCTAAGGTCTTTATTGTTAAGCATTTTATATGCGACGTGTCAAAAGATTCTGAATCTGTTAAAACAACAGTTATACAACCATTTTCATTCACCCTTTCTATTCTTGATGGTGTGGGTTCTGGTGATAGTGACCTTGGTTCTGATTGCTGATCCAATTTCAATACTGGTTCATGTAGTTTAAAAGTCATTGGACCATTCTCAGTAGCTTCTTCACTGGATGTCGACGCTGTACTGTTTGTTTGTAAATTTGAAAAGGCATTGTGCAAATTACTACTGTGTGAACTTGACGCTTGAGTTGTATTATACCCTACCGGACTTCTAAATGGATTGTCTTCTTGGACATGTAAATTACTCGAAGTATTTATATAGTTACTCTCGTCTAATGGATGCTGTTGAATGTCTTTCCACTCAACTATCCTCTTTATAATGTCAAGACTGAAATTAATCTTTTGTACTGTAATTCTGTTTATTCTATCAAACAAATAAATGTTTTCTGTTATCTGCTGCAACCAATTCTCATCAACTGTATCCTTTGAAACTATAAGAAAACTGGCTAACACTCTACTGGCCATGAAGGTAACAAATTTACTCTTATGATCAGCTAATTCAATAACTTCCGTAATCCAATCATGTTGGTTCCTAACAAGTAAGTCACATGCTTGCATTAATTTTGAACATATAGTGCCCGTACCATTCTGTTTCAGGTAAATATCAAACGTTAACTGCATAGATGATAAATATGTAAGCGAGCACTTTAGAGGCCAAGAAGCAATACTCAATCGGCGGTCAAAGAGATTAGGGACAATTTTTTTGTCAAATCTACATAGACACTGGCCAACTATAGCATCCTGTAGCAATCGGAGTTCAGATAACAATTTGTCATCTTCTGAACTCCAGGGAGGTGCAGAATTTGAACACGAAGGGATGATGTCCGCAATGTCAGTGGGAAGTTGTAATATTGCTGAACAGTCTACGGCATCCTCACTTACTGTACCACTGTCTGGTGACTCACCATTCCTGGGGAAGTCTTCAATAATTTCAGCTGGAGTTTCAGAGTCGTAAATATCAGTAATAATATCCTCAACGGATCTATCGCTCCCATCGTCGATATCCGGAGCGTCAATTCGCAACTTCTTCTTCACAGGTTGGTCAGAAGCCATCACTTCATCTGTCTGAGGTCCGAAATGTAGTTGCCCTCTGAAAACCATGAACCCGGGTATCGAATCCCTCCCGCTGCTATACCTCACGTCTTACACCAACGATTGTCTCGTTTATTTTGTCACAACCATCGTTCTGGAAACACAAAAGAAGAAATATGAATGCGTGACCTTTCCAAATCGCTACTCAGTTACGCAGACGACAAAGCCACGGAATATTTGTTGGATTACAACATCCTGGCCACTTAAAACTGTGCGAATTTACTAAATAAACACTAAAACTATAACGTTAACAGCGTTGAACAGAAGAATAGCTAGTTTACGAGCGATTTTCTAAGAACTTTCCAAAATATTTTGATGGCACACATACCGTTGCCAAGATGCAGAGGTTGTTTGTACATTTATTCTCATCCGAAGTATCCATAAATTGGTTCTAAATGGTCACTGCAATCCAGTTACGCACAATAACACTGATTATTCTGTGACAATCAGGGGAAATACTGCTTCTTATTTCAATTGCAATTTCGATGAGTAGAACATCGACTCCATTACGTACAATATGACTGAGTATGACGCTGAGTCAAATGAGGCACTTTTTTCATTGGAATGTCATGTTATTTGACAAATTTTTCAGAAAAACTGGAAATTAAACTATCTTAGAATACATGAAAACAATTTTATTTTTCAATATATGAGTCCATGTAATCAAATATGTACGAAGAAAAAAAATTATATTTAAAAGAAATGTGTTCAGTTGCAGGATATCCGGTAAAGACGTTGCCAGTTTGGTGACTTCCGAATTTAGCAACAGTGTTGCCAAGACCGATTTTCACTTATGAAAATTGTTGTTTTTCTCTATAGTTCAAAGTAAAACTATTTTTGAAGTAAACAATGCAATTTTATCTTAGAGGATGGAAACAAAATAAAGTAAATGTAATTTATTAACACCTTATTACTCATTAGCAGCGAGTGTCTGGGCTTGCCAGCAAAATGTTTTAGATCCATATAATAATGTCGTCGTGCTCTGTTTATTACACGCCTCGCACAAAACGTCATGCAGCACAAATGACTACGAAGAAATACACAATCAGAGGAAAGTACAGTACAGCAGTGGAGTGTGAGTGGAGGGTACATCATACTTTTATCATTAATTTATAATTTGTAAAATATTCGCCACTTCGCTTTATTCTCTCTATATTTTGTAGTTTGTGGTTGGTTTTGTGGTAGTCTTTGACTGAGCTTGTCTATGGCTCCGAGGAAAATGTCTGCTACGAAAGAATCGAGAATTGAGTTACAAATAATAAAATAATAGTGATATTATCAATTATACGTTATGAATTGATCAGGTGAATATAATAGATTTAGGAATGAAGTGCTTGAATAAAGTGCGAACGGTGACTCATCGCAGTGTTTTTGCATAACAATCGATAGCTGAAATTAAGGTTATACATATCAGTGGTTTTTGTAATAATATTTCTTCAAAATACACATAGTTGGGGATATAAAACTATATTCAGACGGTATTTTAGTCACATGCAAGTACCCACAAGTTATTGTTTATTTATAGGTTCTATGCGGAAACGCTTTTATATGTCATCGAGTCTGTGTAGCTCTTTTTGCCAGTCAATTGAATAGAGCTACAAAAATGTATTGCAGATAAAGTTCACAGTAATATTGCGAAAGTGTTTCAATGCCTGACTGGCTGCAAGGTTGCTTCGAGCGTATTGAAAGTGTTTTGTCACCCACAGAATTAGTAAACAATGGGAGAGATTGTATTGAATTTCCTACCTAAAGTAGGCTGTGTAATCAATGGGTGACTGGTTTTTTGCTGTCTATGTCTCTGATACACTCATTCTTTTCAATCAAGACTAATTCTAACTCTCCAATCATTTGGATTAGTGATGTTATGCCTATTGCAAAAGATATCCACTTTGACTGTCCATATTTGGTCAGTCTCTTATTTTTATTATTTCTATTTAGATGTAGTTATGCAAAACGGATCCAGTCTTCATTTTTATAAAAATACATTTTAATGACCTGCATAAAATAACAGAATTAAGTTGTATCTTAGATAAAAAGTAAACTTAAAAAATGGTTTTCTAAACAGTAATTTCAAATTTCCATTTATATTGAATAGTCTTTTTTTAATTCACATTGTGACTTAAAACTTATTAGGAATGAATGGATTGTACACAATTAAAATTTTTAAGAAATTTATTTGAATCAGTGTCTAACACAATTGTTATTCTATATTCCATTCAATACAATAAGTAGGTAAGATTGGTGTATTAGGGTGTTTTTTGTAACTCAAAAGACAAAAAGCCTACTTTGCCACCTCAAGTGGGTGGAGGGCGTTACTAGTTCAGCCAAATCTCGGTTGGACTGTGCAAAAGGATGCACTATGAAAACTAGACTTCATTGTTAACTTTAACTCAGAAACATTAAGTTCCAGCAAGTTAAAAAAAATCAATTGAATTTTTCTAAGTCCTGTAGCCTTGAAAAACTTTTCAGCTGTAATGTTCTTGAAAACTATCGTCCGTGGAGAAAAATTAATAAGAACAAAAAGCATTTATTTATATCTATATATCTGAAACAAACACTAAAAACAATTTAAAGCAAAAAGTCCAGCTTCCAATGCCCTCCAACCGTCTGACCCAAATCTCCTCTTAGCATCCTCTTGGGTTTTTTGAAGACTTCAGTAAGCAACCACACCATGTTTTGCCCTGTAGCTGTCCATGCGGAAGCATTGTAGTAGGACATGAGTGGCTGTTTCCTTCTCCTCCATCCACAGCATGAGAGAGCAGCCCATTATACCTAACTTAAAAAAGTTTTTTAATATGATTTCTTAAAGTCATCATTTACAGTACTGACCTCTCACTTTTCATAAAGTAATTTGGTGCCTCTAATTCTACATAGAAGAATTAAATGTAGAACACAAAGCCAATTGTATCTCTCTGTTTAAAGCTCTGATCTCTTGTCATATAAATATTCATTGTTTTATTCACAAATTGCAATGAAAAGTATACTTGTTTTTTATGTTTGTGTTTTTTTTAGTTATGTATTAAAATCGTCTAATATGTTCATTGAAATGAGTGGCATGTTAGTAATTTCAGATACTTTCAGATAATAAACTCTGATTATGCAGTTTGTTCAGTTTTGATACTTATGCTTAATTAGGATTATGTAATTTTCTTTGTCTGTTTTCTTGTGCCTTTTTGATAAAGTCGACCTATTTTTTTTTTAAATGTTGTCAATTTGTGTGATTATAGCTGCAGTAGTTTATGAGGAACACTTCATCGTCATCACGTCACTTCTTCTGTGACTGAAGTCACCCATTTAGCAATATGACTTTTTATAATATGTATATATTTTTTGTGATATTACGTGATGGGACGAACAAGTTGTGCACCTGCTCATAAGCGACATGCTTACCCTTAACAGTTACTGTGCCACTCAGAGCTTTGATTCGCAAAGACACTGCATCAGTCACTCTGAGACAGTCCACACTGCTTGTAGTTTCACTGGAATAATGTTCTACATGTGGAAGTTCAGAACTTAACTTACACTTTATAATCAAAAGTAAAAAGCAAATAAATGAACAAATACATGATGTCATTGTGTTCATTGCAACAAAAACACGTAAAGTTTACTATTACGTAATAGAATTATTCTAGAAGATATGGATAGCCCAGCCTAGGCTGTATAGCTCATTCATGTCGACAACCAGATCTGTAAGCCACACCCACTTCAGCTTGCTTACCCCGTCAAGCTAGAGGCGAGGTGTAACTAGTTTTGTGAAGTCTGGACCACAGGTTTAGTAATTTTGTGTATCTTTTTCAAAATTATTATCGTAACCATTGTTTCAACTACATTAGCTTATGCTTTTGTAGAGTGTAGTCACAAGAACTGCAATTTGGGAGCAGCTTATGTGATTACACCATTAAGAGTAACTGTAGAAGTTATGTTACCTCTGGTACACGTAATACATTCAGACCCCTTGTCATTGTTAGGAATTTTAAATGGAGGACAGATAAAGTTTCATGAATTTATTATTCAGCTCACTATTTATAATTGTTAACTTTTTTAATATAGTAAGTTGGAGGAGGTCCCACTGAAATAGGAGTAACCCCCTCTATCAAACTTAAAGTCGGAATTCTATTCAATATCCTTTAAGAAACGCTCTTTTTAGAAAACGACGCAGTTGCTTGTGGATCCAAAGTAAAAATGTTATTATCTCTTTTCAGATTAAACAGAAGTATGGGCGGCGGCGAGTTGACGAGAGAAACGAAGCTTTGATCTGAGTGTAGTGAATCTCATAGACTTAGTGAAGTGATGTGCATGAGTGTGTGAAATGTCTGACGAAGAGGACTCCTCGCCCGATCAGGCGTTGGTGCCTATCAACAATGTGCCAGGTGATTTTTTTGAAATAATTGTATTTATTACTTTTCTTCAATCCATAGCCACCGAATTAAAAGTTTTTCAACCCGTAGCTGTCCAATGTTGAGTAAAGGTCCCTTGTTTTTAAACTTGACTAGTTTGATTCTCAAAAAAAAAAGAAAAGACTCGAGCCATAATGTCGAACTCGAGTCTATTCGGAACTTGATAGGCTCATATACATCGAGCAGTGGAGTCTGTCTTTATGAGCCGAGTCCTAAAATGTAGACTCCCGGCTTCGAGTTTTTTACAACACTAGTTACCATACTTGTCTTATTATATACCATATTGCTATTTTGTTGTTGTGAACCTGCTATTTTGCATTGCAGCTTTCTCTTAATCACATAATAGGTCTTTTGTGCGTGAATAGGGATGTAGCTATGGGTTAACAAAGTACATGTATTTGTTTTAAATCACGTTTTATGTACAGCAACAGAAAGCTGGGATTTCACTTTGAACTGTTTTATGTTAAGTGGCATATAATGTTATGTTGAGCATGATGATCACTGTACCCTTTGTTCTTTAAATTTTCACTTATTATGGACCATTTTATCATGAATAGTATAGAGTTGAACTTAAAACCTTTATTGTAAAGGGAGGTTTGCTGTTATCGCTTGTTTACCATTCTTCCTAACAGCAAATTAAATGTGTAAATTGTTATTAACACCTCTGATTCATCGCGCATTGTTACGCCGCATATTATATTGTCACGTGTTTGTTTTTTTTGTACTGGCATAGGATATCCTCTTAAATTTTGTCACATTGTTTCCTGGTGGATAGTGACTTTAATGACGAAAATGTTTATATATTGTAAATAGTTAAAATTTAATCCCAGGTTAAAAAACATGCACATGTAATTAAATTAAACATGCATGTGGAACAGAGACTGAACATGGAGACTACCATCTCACAACATTTTTTTTTTGTCCTGGCTTTTTTCGGGATTCGGGGCTGAAGTACATATACCTAGAACTACATGAAGGATCGATGCGATAGTTTTATGATCCCTTAGGAATGTCCATAAATCATACAGTATGTTTAAAGTACATTTTTTTACTTTTCTTTTATAATATCACGTAAGCTACACGCCTGTCTATGACAGTAGCAGTGCCACTCAGAGCTTTAGATCGCAAAGATATGAGAGGCAATGCCACTGCGCCCGTCACCCTGAGACATAAGTTGATTAGCCCCATGTGTCTGTAATTTCACTAGCACCCCCATCCTTCAAAACCGGAACTCAGTAATGCCAACATTACTGCTTGGCGGCAGAAACAGATAAGGTGGCAGTACCCTGGACGAACTCTTTCACAAGGAGCTCTAGTGCTACCACTGAACAGTTATTGGTAGCTATAGCTACCAGTAAATTACAGTACCTAGTTGGTGAACTGTTTTACAAATAACTTTGGAGTTACCACATGTATTAACACCAAATTTTTACTAGTATTTCACTGTTAAATACTCGATATCCTAGTATAAAGAAACAAATATTCATGATGCGTCCCTATAGCAGAAAAAAATGTGAAAAAAAAACTTTGGCGGGATTGTTGACGTTTAGTCTTTGATGAGAACTTTAATTGTGATAGATGACATTATTAATTAATTTCTGGAATTATTACCTATCAAAATGATCGTCAGGATGTGCTTTTTCAGATGGTGTTAAAACTTTAACAATTGATATCTTATTGGAATCACAATCTTATTGGAGAAAAGGTCATCAAAGTGGAGGTCATCGCACCTTGTGATTGTTTTTTTGAAAAAAACTTATTCATTAATAAAATACTTTTTGGGGTATAATATCACATAAACACATAACTTTATTCAATAGAGGTTGTATTAAAACCTTTTTTAGGTCGTTATATTGTGAGTTGTGATAGGATTCGTAAATTTTCTTGCTCGCGAGTTATAATTTTTTTACGCCATTTTCGCAAATTTTCACGATTTTCGTCGCTACCCGCAATTGTTATTAATTTATTTTAAAAATAGTTACACATTATATTCATGTGATTCTAGTGTTAATCGATGGGTATTTAAATGCTTGTCATCTTTATACATATATGTTTTGTTTCTTAATACAGTGAATATACAAGGTAGTTAGAAGTTAAAGCGTAAAATACTATGAAAATTTCTCAGATGTGTTCAGTGTACTTAGAAATTAACAAATAAAGTTGTCGTATTACAATTTTGTTAACCAAGGTAAACAACTCTTTTATGGGGAACTGTATACGTTTTTACAATAAGATTCCGGAGCATATATTAAGTTTATCATTTCCTAAGTTTAAAAACTACATTAAAAATATTTTGATCGAAAAATCATATTACAAAATTGAAGACTACGTGTTAGATAAAGATGTATGGAAAGACGACATGGCTCCTGAATCCACACAAATTTGATTCAAAATGTATTCCATAGCATTTAAGTTTATTTGAAAAGAGCAATCCCTAGAGTTTCTTGCTCGTTCTTCTCAGGGAGGTCAGCGTAGTGAACGAGCAGTACCTTAAATGTGACGTTTTCAAGTGTAAATTTATTTTACCTATGGAATAAATCATCTTTGACTTTGACTTTGACTTTGACATAACTGTAGTTTAAACAAAAACTGCTTAAGTGATCTTATCGCCTATGTTATTCTTTTTACGGTAGCTTAATAGGTTCTTGACTTTCAAGTGTTTATATTATACGTGTCTTATCGCCGCCCGTAATATAAACAATAAAAAAAGGTACCAACTGATTAGAAAAGTGACAGGTATCAAATGTCACGCGTGCCGACGATCAAGTAGTTAAGACTTTTTTTTGTAGGAATTATCCTAAATATTCCGAAAAATTGGTGGTTACAACAACTCGTCGCAAAGTTTAAATAAGTATAGTCTACATACCTATCACAAATAACGTCGATTTTTAATGTAAGTGATTTCTCGAATCCCGAAAAAAACCGGGATCAAAAAATGTTGTGGTAAGGCAGTCTCCACGTTCAGTCTCTGTTCCTCGAAGTTTAGGTAAACATGCTCTACCTATTTCAATCACTGGTGATTAGTATAAAGAGTGATTGGATAGTTCGGACCTGTAGAGAGGATGAATGAAAACATATTGACCGGGACGCGGATTTATAAGGCGAGTTTTATGAGGGAAAGTTGATAAGGGCTGACAATTTTTTAACAGACTTAAAAAAAAAGGAGGAGGTTCTCAATTCGATTGTTTTTTGTATGTATGTTACGCGATAACTGCGCAATTTGTGAACCGATTTTGATGCATGAAATGCGTTACGTATACCGTTCGGCTCGGGGGAGTCGCGAGCGGTTATGTGTGATTCCAGAGCCGTAGCCCGGTATACACACTAACCCAGCTGTTAACGCCACCGCCATAAGGAGGCATCTCTGGATCCGCTTACGCATACGTGCCCTGGGTTAACATGGTGGCACCGTCATCCTTGTGAGCGCAGAATTGGAGATAGGGCCCCTAGACCCTGTCCCCAAGACTCACTACAGCGGAGGATATAATTATGCATGTTGATAATAATAATACTGTGCCAAACAACCGCACCGATTGCCTGGTCTCAAACTAGGGATTTCCCTGTACTATCAGTACCAGTACCTGAGCTACATAATTCACTCCGGTGCACTACTCAGAACACCCACACCCACACGAAAACTAATTTAGAAAGTTCATTACCCAAATTGTTTTCACCAGGAATCGAACCCGGGACTTCTACATCTAATACCTAAAATTTAATATGCGGTTAAGTACGTTATTGTGGTAAAGTAATTGCTAGTTACCCAATTTTGCGGTCGCGTCACAAAACGGAATAATAACTTCATAAAACGTCTTTAGACATACATTTTTTTAAATTTATTTAATAATTAACTTTAATTGTGTTTGAATGTCAAATTGAAAATCTAGTTATAAATTAAAAATTGTTGACGATTTCACAGGGAGGCATTATCCACTCTATGAGTATCACTTCTTTGAAGTTTAGATAAATATACTCTCTGCGTATTCCGAACTCTAGCCATTACTCTACTAACATCAATTCATTTTAGTTTTGGTATTCTTCATTATGAAAATTTGCCAATTACTACCATTTACCAAATTGTAGGTGCGCTAAATACTTAACAGCGTGTATTGGCCTTAAAGATTCTGGTAACGATGTAAGGGATCTAAAAATCAATACTTCAGAAGGTCATGGTTGTGAACAACACCAATATGATATATGTATTCATAAATTTAATATAATATTAATTTTTTTTATTTTTTTATTTAAATTTAATAATAATATATGCGGAAATTATGTTACTTCTAAATCTAATAGTCAGTTATAAAATGGTATAATGTGTATTTTCATTGTAATTATTAATACAAAGATCGAACAGAGTTTTTTTTATAACATCAAGTGACGTGACGAACAAGTCGTGCGCTGATGGTAAGCAACACGCCTGTCCATAACAGTTGCAGTGCAAAGCTCTGAGAGGCACTACCACTGCGCCCGTCACCCTAAGACACAAGTTGACAAGTCCCATATGCCTGTAATTTCACCAGCGCCCTTACCTTTCCAAACCGGAACGCAGTAATGCTCACATTACTGTTTGGCGGCAGAAATAGGTAAGGTGCCAGTACTTCCCTGGACGAACTCTTTCACAAGGAGCTCTGTTGCTGCTACAAATGCCATATTAGTTTGGCAGCATAACATTCAGACGCAGGTTCGTGTACTGTCAGATCGAAGGAATTTTTCTTGTATTCGATCTAACTATAACAAACTAGTGGAGTAATTTAAAAAAAATCAATGTTAGTGTAGTAAAATACTAATAATTGGCTCAGGTCGTGCCAATTTTCAAATCTGACGACAAAGTGTTAGTGAGTAATTACCGGCCAATCTCATTGCTGTCGTTCCTGCTAAGTTATTCGAATCTGTCGTACACCCAATTATTAATAATCATTTTAAACAGTTTTTATCTATAAATCAACATGGATTTGTTAAAACAAGATCTACGTGCACAAATCTTGTTTCATTTGTCGAGAGTGTAATTGGATCTGTCGATAAGGGTAGCCAAACAGACGTAATTTATACAGATTTTAGCAAAGCTTTTGACCGCGTATCACACAGTGTACTGCTGGAAAAGCTTTTCATCTACGGTTTTGGTGGAACAGTGTTTCAATGGTTACGCTCGTATTTAGAGGATCGTTCATTTTATGTGGTTGTTAATGGATACAAGTCTAATATTTTAATATAGCTTCCGGCGTTCCTCAAGGGTCAGATTTGGGGTCACTTCTCTTTAATATTTTCATAAACGATATTTCCGAGTGTTTTCGTTTTTCAATATCCTACTTATATGCAGATGATTTGAAATTCGCGAGAGTCATTGAATCTCCTATGGATGTATCTCTGTTGCAAGCTGATGTGGATAGACTGCAGGAATAGTGCTCTACTAATCAGATGAGTCTTAATATTAACAAATGCTCACACATAAAATTTTCAAGGAAACTAAATAATATTTATTATAATTATAAAATTGACGGGCATTTGTTGCGGGAGGTGGATAGTATCAGAGGTCTGGGTGTGCTACTTGACACCAAATTGACGTTCATATCTCATATAGAAAATATCACCAAAAGGTCTTCCAAAGTCCTGGGTTTTGTCATAAGGAACGGAAAGGTATTCCGCTTTCCTGCTACAAAAATACTTCTTTGTAATAGCCTAGTTCGCAGTATAATTGAATATTCTAGTCCGGTTTGGCGCCCTCATTAAGATAATCACATGTTGAAGCTTGAGCGAATACAAAAGAGATTTTTCTGGCACTTAGCGTACTCAGTGGGGTTGGCCAGAAAGTTGCGGTCGTATTCTGATAGACTTGTGCATTTTAAAATGTTATCGCTTGCACATCTTGTTTTTTTTTCAGCCATGTAGTTGCTATTCGAAACCCTTGTTCACTTGTATTTATTGGTTTTGTTTGTATTACGTCTTTTTTTTAAGGAGTATTAAGAACGTAACGTCATTTTAAAAAATACGATCACCTTACAAAATAAAGCGTAGCATGACAAGAAACAATGTACGTGTGTGCGTGCGTGCGTGCGTGTGTGTATGTATGTCTGTGAAAGATTGCGTGAGTGCGTGATTAAAACCTAATCCGGTACGGCAAGTAGTTTTTCTGTCGACTCATGGTCGAGTAATAATAAAATATTATTAAGACGCTTGAATTTCTTAGCGAGCAGCTCCGCATATTCTGATTCCTTCTTCCTTGGTACTCTCTAGATTAAACTATGCTGACTTAGTGTACGTTTTGCGACTTTTAGTAAGAACGAGAAGATTAATACTGGAGTGCAAAACGCATCCGCTCGATTTTGTTTTCGTATACCCCCATGAAGTTATGTATGCTCGTTTTTTAATAAGGTAAAATGTTAAGCATGTCGTTGCGAATGTAATTATTTAGCCACGGTTCTATTTGGAGTGTTAAAAAGCAAAAAATATTTTTACCTCCACCAACGTCTCACATGGATCAAAAGAGCACGCAGGTTTCCACTCTGCATTCGAAAACATACAAATTCGGCATATAAAGCAGTTTTAAATAAACATACCGCCACCAGTGCGTTCTTCACAATCCGTTTATACTTTCAAAACGAAACTCAAAGAGCACATGTTAATGCACAATACACTCCTGGGGCAATTTTATTTGTGTAACGCACCCAGAAACCCAAAATCTATGGAGACAAAGTGAATTTGAAAACGCAGTAGGCATATCGTCTGGAATAGTGCATCCGCGTATGTAGTATTGATAAAAGGCGCGTATCTGCACCAAACCAAATTTCACAATTTTAACGTTATTACTTTGTTATTTCAATGGCTACGACTTTCATTCTTGCACAGTAACATTTGGCCACTAAATTATCGACATGGAAACTCATAATCAAATGCTAGTTACGCGTAATTGCACTATATGTCCTGTTATATTTCTTAATTAATTATGTTATGTATTTTACTTTTAGTTGTTTAATTTTTTGAATTGGCCATTTCGAAAAGGGTCTACTAAAACCAGCGCTATCATCATCATGTGAGCAAATCGTCATATTTTCAACTCTATTCATTTTGAAAGTCAACTCCAGGATTCCTTCTCCGTTGTTTTGCAACAGTGTGTTATATTATAATGTTATAACATTACCACTTTTTTTCAGTGTTGGGCATCAAACGTCTCAAACAAATCGAGCAAATGTTCATAGCACGTCGGCTCCACCCGCGAGGCAACGGACTCAGTGTAGAGACACTTTTGGACGTGCTATTAGTGCTGTATGATGAGTGCTGTAATAGCAGTTTGAGGAGGGAGAAAGCCGTCGCCGATTTTATACAATATGGTGAGTTCGATAGTCTAATTTAACCATATTTTATGAGGCAACGCACTCTGTGTGGAAACACTTTATAGTGTCTAATTATTTCTGCAATAGCAGTTTGAAGTAGAAAACTGATTTTATAAAATGTGTTGAGTTTATTAGCCTAAAGACGTCCACATCTTATGAGGCAATGAGCTTAGAGTGGAGGCGCTTCGAGACCTGTTATAGTATTGACGTGTTATTAGTACTGTGCGATGAGTATTGTAATAGCAGATTGAGACGGAGACAGCTCTCGCCGATTTTATAACTATATGTTGAATTTATTAGCTTAAAACCATCGACATCTGTTGAGGTAATGAGCTCAGTGTGGGGACACATCTAGACGTGTTATTAGTGCTGTGCGAAGAGTAGTGTAGTAGCTGTTTGAAGAGGGAGACGTATTTCTACTATTTTTTAATATAGTGAGCTGATTAGCGTAGAGACGTCCACATCTTTGAGGCAATGAGCTTAGTGCGAAAACACTTATTATGGACGTTTAATTAGTGCTGTGCGATGAGTACTGTAGCAGTTTAAAGAGGAAGAAAGTCCTCGCCGATTGTATTAAGTGTAGTGCATTTATTAATTTAAAGACGTCTACCTCATGAGGCAATTAAATCAAGGTGGAGACACTTTAAGTCAGAGCTGTGCGACGAGTACTATAATAACAGTTTTAAGAGGAAGAAAAACTCGCCGGTTATCCTGTTATTAATAAATGAATATTTGTGTTATCAGTGAAACCAGTGGCAGTGGCGTTGAAGCGCCTGCGGCTGTCGCGCGATGACTTCGAACTGGTGAAGGTGATCGGCCGTGGCGCTTTTGGAGAAGTGTGTGTTGTACGGGCTTCCTTCTTACAAGTAAGTTAAAATATATCACAATTCGAATGATATGTCTGCGAACAAGATAAGAGAAGAAGATAAACCCTCAATGTGTTGCTTGATGTATGTATGTATGTATATACAATATACACGTTAAAGTGATACCAGAGTTGTAGTGTGTTTTCTTTTCATTAAAATTATATAGTTTAGAAAATAAGGGAAGCAATAATAGGGAAAGGTATGTTGAGATGGTTTGGACACATAGAGGGGATAAAGGAGTGGTGAAAGAGATGTTTATAGCTAGTTGTGAAAGACTTCATCGGAAGTACTCCCACCCTACCTCTATATGTGGCGCTTAGCAGTAATGTGCGCATTACTGCTTATATGCACATATGACGTGTCAACTTATGTCGAACACTGAAACTGCTATGTACAGGCGTGTCGCTTACCACCAGGCGCACGACTGGTCCGTCCCGTCACTTGGAATCATAAAAAAAAATCTATTCCTAACATATTCGGCAATAACACAAAAAAACCGACCTCAAAAGTTCAGGATTCATCCCCTAGTTTGCCACCCTTAAAGGTGGAATATTTTCTTCAAATTTAAATGGGACCATACTGAGGTACCCTCTTTCCAACAAAACAAGAATCATCAAAATCAGTTCACAACTCCGGCGGAGTTATCGCGTAACATACATACAAAAAGAAATACAGTCGAATTGAAAAGCTCCACCTTTTTGAAGTCGGTTAAAAAAGAAACGGCTGCTAGGTCCGTCAGCTCTCGACTTATTCACAGCAAGCTGAGTCAAAGAGGTTACAATAGCTTCTTATGGCTTTCATTGCGCGTTGAGCTGCCCGTAATTGGGGGCCTCCCATTCGGTCTATTTAATAAATCTAGGGTCGGCGGACTAAAGCACATAAGTCAAAATCCAACATCATTCATTTAAATTAATACCTCTACTGGCTAAAGCATATAAGTCAAATTCATTTGTTACTTCTCAAATTTCGAACTTTATTCTAGACGTTATTTGACTTCCAATACTAAAAGCAACACAAAAAATATATAATTATATATTAACAAAGGAAGCACTTTTTTGACTTATGTGCTTTAGTCTGCCGACCCTAGAAATTTTATTTGCAATGAACAGGGCTCAGATGGAGGTGCAAATGCAGCGGCAGGCAGTGGTGGTACGATATCAACCACTACAGGTGAACGAGTTTACGCCATGAAGATACTCAACAAGTGGGAGATGCTCAAGGTATCTAAGGGAAAGAGAGAGATCACGATGCGTAATTTCTAAGACTCAAAACTAAGACAAATGAGCATTAAAAATAAAATTTTGATGCTTATTTTTAAGACTAAGTAAATGTTGATTATATTTGTATACTAATTCACACCGGGACAGTTGCTTCAGCTGTACCAAGCACAAGTGCGGTCGTGTATGGAGTACTGCTGCCACTTATTTATGGGATGGCTCTGCTAAATACCAACTGGCCACCTTGGATTCCATAGACAAGCGTGATAAGCTCGGAATTAGTAGAGGTGAAGCTGCAGAGCCTTGAACACCGCCGTAGAGTTCCAACATTTCATTCGACATACCGGTATTAGACAATATCACGGAGTGTGCGATGGAATCGCATAATTTGATTCCGCCTTCCCCTTTCCATCATCGGTGGACGAGACGTGGGCTGGGGTTCCACCCCTAAGTTGTGGATATTCTCCAGACTCATACGAAGCGTTTCGCTTCCACATTTGTATGGCGAGCGGCTAGGGAGTGGAATTCCCTGCCTTCATACTTGTTCCCCGAACGCTATTTGGACCTTTTCAAGGCGAGAGTGAATAGGTATTATTTAGGTGTGCATGCTATGTCCTCGACCTCATTGTCATTTTCCATCAGGTGAGATGGAGGTCAAATGCGCACTAATTTCTTTTTATAAAAAAACAAAAAAATATATTAATTATTTCTCAATGGAGGGCGCAACCAACCAAGTTTTATTAGGAGATCAATATCAAAAGATATAATGTCGTCAATGTCATCAATCGTTAAAAGAAAGGACCAGTAATAAAAAAAGAGGATCAAATATTATTTTTGATTACCAAATATTGATTTAGTATGCTTAATCATAATATTAGTGTTATCTTGAATGCAGTTCATTTCTAATTTATCAGTAGATCAATTAATATAGATGGAACAATTAATATTTATTTGTTTATTTATTTATTTTTACGAAGATTTACAGCGAATTCTTAACAATAAATAAATGTTGAGTAACAGGTGAAAATGCTAATTACAGATCTCCACAGGTAGGACAAAAAATATGTTATTATAGTTATTATAGCAGAAACTAAAACATTATTATTGAAATGTGAACTGTATAATATTATTTTACACATTGAAAACAGGTACAATTGCCAATGCAGTGAAAAAAAAGGAAAAGAAAAAAAAGGAAAAGATTAGACCCTATATAGCCCAACCAACAACACGCACATCTTAAAGACAGGAAACAAAGTAATGAGAGATAGATAATTACGTAAAGTATTGCTTAATAAACCTTCGTCGAATCAAACCTGCACTAGTACTGAACAGATCTATGTCAATTGAGGATTGATTGTACTCCTTAATATAGTATTACAAACATAAAAAATATCGTTTATTTCAAAATGTGCACATATAGAGTAGATCAATTATATCTTTGAGTATCAAATAATATTATTCCATATTTATTTTTACGGTAAATGCAGTTACTGTACATGTTCGGGGTAAGTGATGCTGTTTGCCACATAGATTTAAAGCAAATTTTTATTTGTAGCGAGCAGAAACAGCATGTTTTCAAGAAGAACGCGACGTGTTAGTATTTGGCGACAGGCGGTGGATCACCAACCTCCACTACGCGTTTCAGGACGAACACAATTTGGTAAGAATTACCACGACTCGGAATCAAAGTCGGACCCGTGTTCAAAATGCTTCGTTGAAACTCAATTTGTAAACTTAAATGTTTCAGACAGTTTTTCAGTCAGACTGCTTATCTATGCTATTGCTGACGTAAAAAGACGTTTACAGGGTTGCCATTTTTCGTAAAATTTTAAATAGTCATGTAGTTGTTGTCGACACTTTTATCGATAAATTGTGTAAGATGGTAACATTAGCAAAAACGTGTAATTACTGGATTTTATGGCATTCTCATGATTAATAATTGCATTATCGTTTTCTTTGTTATTGTTTTGATAGCTTGGTATCGAAATCAATTCGTGAAGTACAGAGGCACAAATTTATTCTTCCAACGTGACGTCTATTTTTATAATACCGTGTTTACGTTCAAATTAAAGGACAAGCGTAGTCAGTATTCAGTCGATAGAATATTTATCGACTTCAATTACTAGCTGCTTGTAAGCTGACAACGCTTTTGTGCATCGCGTTGTCATTTTACTTCGTTTTGAAAAAAATAAATATAAACTGGTTTAGTTAGTACTGGCCTCGATTAGGGTAAATTCAATCTGAACTTATTATCAGTGCCTTGTGTCTCTTTCGGCATTAGATATAAAATTAATTTTAGTTTAGATTGAAAATGAATATTTTATAATTTTCCAGTACCTGGTAATGGATTATTACTGCGGAGGTGACTTGTTGACGCTACTAAGTAAGTTCGAAGACCGGCTGCCCGAAGACATGGCCAAGTTCTACATCGCGGAAATGGTGCTCGCTATACAGAGCGTGCACGAACTTAGATATGTACATAGGTAAGATATCGAGTTTATTAATTGAAAAAATATATGTATATTAAAAGTTTAAAGCAGTGAACAGTAATGGATGTTCATAATCTGGTTGCTTTGTCGGCGGCAAAGAGTTGCACGCTCCATAAACGACAAACTTTGTGGATTCTTTTTTTGACAGTAATGCAAACATTTCCGAGCACGTTTGAGAAAAAATTCTACTCAATTCAAACTGCCTTAAGGACGGCCTCGGTGAAGACTCATTAATTGTACCTTATGTTTTTTTTATGGTGTTATTCGATGTACATATCGACTAGTCATTTTTATTATTTATTTATTCCTAATTGATCTTCTTTCGCCTGGCCTTATTCCCATTTATTTCTGGTCGCCCCTTCTGGTCACTCTTCTCCAAGACGGTCTGTTCTGAGTCGTCTGTGGTCTTACCTATTGCTCTAGCAGATCTTTGCTAATAAGGGATACCCATGTGAGGCGGGATCTACCACGTCTCTTGGGCTGGTTACTCATGTCAAGTACTGTTCTTGTAATATGATCAGGCAGTCATCGCGTAACATGTCCGTACCACCTACGTCGGCTCTCTAGCAACTTTTCCGGGATAGGCCTCACTTTAAAAGGATAAGCCTAGATTATATGAAATGAAATGAAAAAACTAGCAATTTATGAATAATTCTCATTTATCAAAGTCTGATGATTCAAAGTTCGTATTCAACGAGGGGTTATAAGGATGACACATTCGAAGCTTCCATACAGGGCATAAAGTTTATAACTAGAAAAAGAAACGGGATGCGATTTATTTTGTTTGAAAACTATTCTGCCAAATCATTAAGGTGACAACTGCCGATTGGCCAGCCCAAATTGGAAACAATTGACGGGTGTCGTCAATTGTTTGACTTCAAAAACGCTGTAATGGAAGAAAATTGTAAAATTACATATTTAATTATTTGTTTTGTAATTAGATGTTTTGCTATTTTTCCCACACCACCGAATGGGACACCCCCATTGTTAGAGATATTGTCTTTATTACAATAAATGCAGAATATTTTTGGAATATACGGAGACACGCACAGGTCAGTTGTTGGCGCTGTACTATTTCAGCTAATTTGTGATTTCAGCGCAAACGAGACTTGATATTTAAAAGTGATATAAGGCCCATTGCCTGATGACTTGCCAGGGATGGATAGCCCTTATTTCGTCTCTATTTCTGTTATATACTTGATGACATAGAGTTATTAGTGTAACGGTTCGAATCCGTTACACTAATAATGGTTCCACATTTGTAATGGATTCGAAGCTCCTTTATGTCGTTAGCTTATTGGTTTAATTAATGGATTCGATACTCCAATTCCACATTGAGTTATTGGTTTAACGCATTCGAAGCTCCTATTCCTGATACGGTTATTAGTGTAATGGGTTTGAAGCTTCTAATTCTTCAAATAATGGGCTATTCTAATAACGTATTGTAACATCGTTTCTGGGTCATCAATATCATTTTCTGATTGGTTCTAACATGAAAAAACTTTCCCTTGTCCCTGCAAAAATCTTTGTTCTTGTGGTCTGCCTTGAAAAGTTGATTTTTATATAACATTAAGGAAACGAACAAATTTTCGTGTTTCTCTTTATTTAAACACAAAATGTAACATTATATTTCAACAAAAAATTCTGTAAATTGATGACAAAGAACCTTGAAATATGTAAATTTGCGAGATTATGTAAATACCACAAAGTACTATGTAACTGTGACAGCCACAAAAGCGAAGTTTCAGGAATATAACTACTCGTTTTTAGATACTGGCTGCTCAATTAAACAGAAATCAATACTGTCAAACGAGAATCATAACCTTATTGAAAATTTATTACACAGTGTAAAATGAGCTAAAACGTTTTAACAAAATATTGATCTGAATATTTCTATTTAGGGACATAAAGCCGGACAACGTCCTCCTAGACGCAAGCGGGCACATCAGACTAGCGGATTTCGGGTCATGCCTGCGTTTAGGCGACGACGGCAAGGTGCAAAGCAACGTCGCAGTTGGCACGCCCGACTACATCTCCCCAGAGATACTTAGGGTTGGTACTTTACTATTTTTTTTGCTCTTGGTACCGATTTAACAAAGAGGTAGGTAAGGTTGGCGAAGACTTACCTTGGTGATAGTAATACTGAAGACATGCTGCTCAAAAATTAAATAATTAGAAAGGGTTAGAAGTTATCTAGATTATAGGGTTAGTACAACTTTTCAAAGATAGTGAGGGTTAGTACAAATTTATCAAAACGATGACTAAGCTTGGTACAGGTTTATCTATTGGATACTTAAGGTACGTATAGGTGCTTCGAATTTTATTTATGGCTGCGTATTACAGTGACGTAATTAAACGATTACCTAGAACAGTGGAACGATACCATACAAAAATTGTTTCGCTTTTTTTTAATAAATCGTATTTGTTTGCAGGCTATGGAAGATGGCCAGGGTCGCTATGGTCCAGAATGTGATTGGTGGTCATTAGGTAAATCCTAATTATTAATGAAAAAAATATGAAGAATTTGTGTCTTGAACTACTCGTAATAAGTATATACATTTTATATTTTCCTACCTTCTGAATCCCCCTTCTCTTCGTTCTCCTGCTCTCTCCACGTACTCTGGTTTTATTATATTTGTCATTTACTCCTTGCGTTACGACGCACATGTATGAGGGAATTTTTGGATTGAAATAAAATGCAGTCTTTTGAGTGTCGACGAACTCATGTCGGGAAATCATAAATACCCCAGCTGCCCATAGTGGGTTTTGAAGCGGCAAAATTTCTATATTTTATTGAATTTTATTTCTATTTTTGTATTTTCGGCAAAAAATAAATAGTTTTCCATACCTTTAGCAACAAAATTTATTATTGTGTTATTGTATACGGGTATATTTTCTCGCCAATTTTTTTCTTTGGCAATTATCGGGATATTAAATTTCTAGGCGGCAACTGAAAGGATAAGGAAAAAACTTTTTTAATTTAAACCAAAACTACACGTCCATTTTCCATTCTTCGTTAACTCTTGTTATTTTGTGCATTGTTAATTATTAATTTATTATGGCAGCGTTCAAAGTAAAACACTCTGTAATGAATTACATTTATGTATTAAATTCCAGGTGTGTGCATGTACGAAATGCTGTTTGGAGAGACGCCTTTCTACGCCGAGTCCCTCGTAGAGACGTACGGCAAGATCATGAACCACGCTCGATCCTTCCACTGCCCGCCGCCCGACGAACACGCGGCACAGGTATTTCTTTTTAAAATTTTTTTAAAAGGTCTTAATCATTGACTTACAATTATATGGACGTCGGGTCCGCGCTAAAAAGTGTCCGAACTTATAGGGCGTTAAAATCGTATACAGAGCGTCATTCACGCTTTAGTCTTCGTTTGTTCGACTGACAGCGTAGCAAGCAAAATTAGACAGTACTGCGATGACATTACAATTTAAATTCAACGTTTTAGCTTTTTCATATTCCTTTACATGTCACTACGTTTAAATAGGTTGGGACTTGGGACATTTTTTTCGTGGTTTTTGTATTAGACCCGTCGTCCATTTATTTGTAAGTCAGTGGTCTTAATGTACTTTTTCATCAACCTAGAGATACAATTAACTGCGAGTACCTACAAATTTAATAACTTTAAAAAAATATGTATTATCAATGACTTTCAAAATACCTCTCGTGATCAGAAGAGGCACATATCGTCACCTTACAGTGACGTTGAGTTTTCACTCAGGCAACAACGCCTAAATATTTAAATAGTGTAAACTTCACAGAAGTTCTGTTGCTTACAGTTTTTTAACAGGCGCATTTCTTAACGTCAAGTGTGACGTGTGCCGTCGTATCCTCCGAATTTAACTAACGGAACGTAAAGGCTTTGGGCTTTTATTAAATAAATTCGACCCATTATGTCTTTGAACGCTCCTTGTCAATGACTTCGCTCAGGGAAGTACAGCCATCTTCACATTCATTCACATTTCTATGGTTCGGCTTCGAAGGGTGTTGGTGACATTAGAGGCGCATGGGACTGTCAACGTATGTCTCAGGGTGACGGGCGCAGTGGCAGTGTTCCTCAGATCTTTGCGAGTTAAAGCTATGAATATTCATAAAGTTCGTTTTTACTGAATTTTGTTAAAGAAAACTTATAAACTTCGTGCTCAAATATATTTTAATAATAATATAGTATCTGAAAGAGGTATAATTTACCTAATTAAAATGCTAACTACAAATATTGCGTTTACACCACATTTTCATCTTCGTCCTTAAAAAATTAAACGAGGTATTCACTCTATATAGGAGTCGATACATACAACGATCTATGAGAATGTTTAACTGTCATGGAATAAAAAATAAATGAGTTAATTAAATGTTAATTAAATTTTTATTGAATTGATTTCAATTGTTTTTTATGAAATTACTCCACTAGTTTGCTATAATTATTAATACAAAGACCGAACACTCAGAAAAAATTCCTTCGATCCGGTCGGATTCGAACCGACGTATTCTTGCATACCGTGCCAGACGCTATACCAACTAAGCCACGGAACGAACCAACGGACCTCACGAATTTCTCTATGTGCTTGGGTCGTGTCTTTGTATTTGGTTTTTCAACGACTTTTTAAATGTTATTTATTGCACATTAAAACTTACAATAACAACTTGACAACTTACTAATAATGCAGTACAAAATTTTCTACCATAGCGGTTTGTTATTTCAGGTATCCGAGGAGGCCAAAGATCTGATAAGGAGGTTGATCTGCTCATCAGAAAATAGATTAGGAAAGAATGGATTGCAAGATTTCAAGGTAAGAAAAATTATCAAAAAACACACTTTTTATTTTATTCTTAAGTTTCGCGGTGCATGTGTTTCAAAGTGACGGGCGCAGTGGCAGTGCCCCTAATATCTTTGCGATTTATAGCTCTGAGTGGCACTGCAACTGTTATGAACAGGCGTGTGTCGCTTACCACCAGACGCACGACATGATCGTCCCGTCGTTTGATCTCATAAAAAAATTAAAATGTGAATAATTTTTATTTCAGAACCATCCCTGGTTCGCGGGGTTGGATTGGGAGAATCTCCGCGAGATGCAAGCGCCCTTCGTGCCTGATGTGTCCAGTCCCACTGATACGTCCAACTTCGATGTCGACGACACCGATATTAGGTAATTTCTAATTCTTCTGTCACGTTCGGTGCTAATGAACGAAAACAAGACTTGATAACTTTAGGTCCTTTCCTTGATATAGTGTGTCCGTGGGCAGTTCGTAACGTACTACGTTAAATGAAGTATGAATTACGTATTTACATTAAAATACGTCACGTGGCTAAAATATAACGCCGCGTGCGCAGTGTTACACCGAAGAATGTATGAGACCACACAATGGATCTTTACAAGGTAGATCTATATAGATCCACACAAGATAGATATTTATCCTTCACGCATATAGTTATTTTTAACCTCGCCGAGTAATTCAATTTGATCCCTCCGATGAGACAAAGTTACACTATATTTCAAAATGACTCGTGTGACGATGATCATTACGAACATTTATATAAAAACAAAGCTACCAACTTCGTTAACGACAATTTCAAGTGTTGTGTTGGTTTCACAGATCATCCGATGCAGTACCACCTCCGTCCGCCTCTTCAGCGTTCTCGGGACTCCACCTGCCGTTCATTGGGTTCACCTTCACAGCTGGCTCGCGGTTCTCCGACCTCGGCGCTCCTGCCAGCCCTCTCAGTCCTGCTAAGAACGCGCCTAGTCAGGTAAATAAACTTTTTTTTTATATCTAGCTTCATTGTTCCAATACCAAGGACATTAAAAAAAGTTGTTCTGTTAGTGGTACTAAAATAAATGGAAAATGTAAGGTTATCAGTTGTTTTTTTGTAAAGAGAATCTAGAAATTCTGAATTAAAATACAATTTTTTTGATCTGCAATTACCAGAAAATCTTAAATTAAACTCGTAGCGTTTGCAAGTTACGATGTTTTGATTTTATATTGAAACTTCAATCGATGTTCTACCATCTAGGGGTCAATAGCTGAACGACGACGAATTGGAGATGTTTTATTGGTTCTCCAAAAAGGAAGCGACCTTATTGCAGCTGTATAAGTTTTACTTTCGTTTGTTGTAACAAAAAAATATTGCTATGAACAGAAAAATAAAAAATTTATTAAAATATAGTGAGACTGAACAATGATATGAAACACCACCATATCGTAATCGTTGATTTTGGCACTCCAAAGTAGCAAGATAATGCATTTTTATTATAATAACGATTTTTGACATAGTTGTCACAACCATGACGAACAAAGCGAAAATGGCTCAAATGAGCTCAAGTTTGTTGGACTTCACGTACTGTTGGCATATGTGTCACTCAAACTAAGCACTTCTACTGTATTTATTGTTCTGTGGCCCAAACAAAGGATTAAACTTTTTTTATTGATTTCAGTGGCCCAATGATTTGCATTTGGGCGCTGAACAAGAAAATCCTGCGAGGACCAATTAGAGAATTATTTTTTCTAAATTGGTACTAGTCTGTTTATTCTGGCTAGCGCCCCAAATTGGATTATGTTGCTCTGTTAGTCATAACACAGGGAACTGCCTACTGCAACCACGTTGTGGGTGTTATAAAATATTTCACAAATAGACAGTATTGTCGCCACGCCTAAGGTTCAGTCATAATGTAAATTACATATGCGACATTCTTTCTATCACAGCAACCTTTAAATAGAGTATCTTTCTTCATGTACACTTCTTCTAACTCCATTCTACTTCATAGGACTACTAAATTATCCTAAAAGGTCCTTGACCTCATATCGATCCTCCAGATCTGAACTAGTGGGATCCTCTGATGGGCCTCCACACACACCCCTACAGCCCTTCCTCTGCCACCGCTTCTTGCCCCCTTATACCTTCAGTACAAGTGGCGGTCTCATTGTAATTCTGTTACTGATTCGTCATACTCTATCTTCAGGCTGTCTAGTCAACAAATACTGTATCTACGTTAGTAATAAACATTGTGCAAACTTACCAACTGTAGTGCCGACCAACCAGTGCACTCCCAGCAGATGCCTGATATCTCACCTTCATTTGAGATGCCTGTACTGCTGTGTTAGTTCCCTACTCTTAGGTATCATAACAGACTAAATTTATTAATGCTTGATATTACAAAACTTATACTAAATCGCGACATAATTAGCGACAAGTATCATAATATTGGTTTGTTATTTAATATTCAGGCACCATCGAATTCCGGCGAGCGCGCCGCGTTAAAGGCCTTAGAACGCGAGAACGCGTTACTGGCGCAGACCATCGCGGAACTACGGGCGGGCGGATCTCAGTTCGCCGGCAATGGTAACTTGTTTTAAAAATTCATAAGGTTGATTTTATGTATTATATGACGTGTAAGAAATCATAAATGGAAACCAATAAAAAGTCAATTTGTTCAATTTTTCTAACCGCAAAATTCAAAACGCTTCGAATGGCATTTATCTTATGAGAAGCTTCAGAAGTCTCTCACAGGTGTCGCTTACGGCGATATTTAATAAAATCAATAATACTATAATTAACATAGCGCCATCTCACCAGTCTCTGGCAGCTGCTAATGTACCGGCTGAGTGAGAAGCTTCATACGTCTCTAACAAGTGTCACATACAGCGACAAAAGCCGAAGAAAAGGAAAAGTAACTCATTATAAAAAGTCTACACAAAACAAACACAAAAATATTTAGAAGCAGGTAGTAGGTAGCTCAATTGTTAGAGCAGTTGCCGTAGTTTGGCATACAGACGCAGGTTCGAGTCCTGTCAGAACGAAGGAATTTGTGTTTGTGTTCGATCTTTGTGAAAAAGGTTTTGCTTGCAATAATAATAAGGTCGAAATCGAGGGTTTTTCTTAGTCTGGTGCAAGGTGAAACCGAAAAACGCCTGGAGCATCACGTGATAATTATAAATTGTTGTGTTTTTCAGAAGAGTCAATCCAACTAAAAGAAGATTTATCTATTTTGTCGAAGAGAAACGCTGATTTGGAAGCACAAGTCAAATGTTTCGAGCAACTCAGTTCTGGAATTACTGCACAAGTTAGTTATAGTTATTTGTATATTATGTCATTTTTTCAAGACGAAGTAACATGATTGTTCCATGCGCAAAAGGGTTGCCAACTTACAAATAACTAATGATTGCAGTCCATAAATATACTGGCGACTGCATATTGGTTAAGCTTACACAATAAATGACCGAACATGTTTTGCTTGAATATAAATGAAGATTCATAAAACGTGAAGAACTATGATAATGATAGACAGGACGTCTATCATTATCATAGTTCTCGATCTTATTCTATTATTCTTCTCTTGGAAGAATAATAGAATAAGATCGTGCCTCTGTACTTCACGAATTGATTTGGATACCATAGGTGTGATAGTCAAAACAAAAAAAAGATAGATAATGCAAAGATTAATAGTAGCATTTAATTTTTTTTTAAATGTTTGGCTCCTTTCACAATCTATTGACTACAACTACATGACTATTTAAATTTTGACCAAAAATTGCAACTTTGAAAACGTCTTTTTATATATATTTTTATTTATTTTAGGAAGATTTACATCGTTTTTAACAATAAATATATATGTTGAGTAACAGGTGAAAATGCTAATTATAAATCTCCACAAGTTGAAAAAAAAAAAGTTTTTAAGTTTTAGTCAGCAAATAAATAAAATACTACAAATAATACAAATAAAAACATTATAATTGAAATGTAAAACAACGTAATATTATTTTATACTTTAAGAACAGGTACATTTGCCAACACAGGGGAAAAAAGGAAAAATATTGAACCCTTTGTAGCCCAACCAACAACGTATATAGTATAGTAGTGTCACAGTTACTATTATAACCCCCTATTTTACTATGGGTGTGCTAAAAAGCAATAGCTTTAGCAATAGCTGAGTGAGCCTCTGATACCAAATTCCACTGCGCCATCAAATTGACGCCAACCGATCGAGGATCTTAGATTACGTGTTAGAGCTATTAAATCCAGAAAGATCTAGAAGGAAGCTAATAAGGGATATAGATCCAGGATATAAACAGCAGCTTCCATGTTGTTAATTGCAACTATAGTCATCGTTAACTCGTCTATTGTCTGAATCCTAGCAGTTATGCAAAACTTCATTTTTCGAGGACGCTTTAGCAGTTGACTGTTATAGACTAAAGATTGTGGTAGCATTGATGTGCTTAGTAGATCCAGGCGTTTACATGGCAACGCTGTCAATAGTTTGACGGTTAGTACATACAAAAAGTGTATTTAAAAAAAAACACTTTTTATCTAAATCTTTTTTGTTTGTTCAAACAAATCAACTTTTATATGTAGGTTCTATGGTCGCCAACCATATTTTTATTGGTTTTCCCCCCTCTATTATTACTTTTTTTTATTAGTCTACTGTGTCCCACTGCTAGGCGAAGGCCTCTTCTCCTAGCATTGGGACACAGTTTGACTTCAACAGTTCCCTGTTTGACGCAAAGTTAGGGCAGTCCTTTATATATGCGTCCAAGTCGTCCCGCCATCTCCTTATTAGTCCGCCTCGTCATCGCTGGCGTTCTCCGGCACCCACCAAAGGCTGTGTGAGCCCATCTCTATGGGTGCGACAGACGTGTCCAGGCTAGTCCCATTTCAGCCTGGCAGTCCTTTTCCCAACATCGATTATGTGTGTCTTCGAGCGTAGTTTATTATTATTAAGTTGTAAAGATTAAATATCAAAATCCCTACTCGTCCAACTATCTCGATCTTTTGCTCCCGCCCATTTGTCAGTTAGGCATTTAGAACTTCACGTCTTAGCTTTCGGTCTGTCTGAACATCGATATCATTCAAGTACTCATTGCTTGATCCCATTTTTCTTGGTGCATTCACAAACCATCACCGCCCCTGTTATTTTAACCTCCCTTAATTCTAGTCACAGTGCGTCATCATTAGGGGAGTCATGAGATTCTTCCACTCTGTAGCACTCTGTAGCTCTGTATCACATTTAGTGTGATAGCAATGAAGATATTGTTATTGTCATTTCAGGATATAACAGCAAACACGCCGCAAGAGGCAGCGGCGCGGATACGCGATCTCGATATCAAAGTCAAAGCTCTGACACTGGAGAAGGAGGAACTTGTCAAGGATAAAATTGATATTTTGGAGAAACTAAGGCTACAGGTTAGTTTTGCAATAAAACATCAAATATATAACCAGAAATAGAGACGAAATGTCATTTAATTTGTTTGAAAACTGAATAGTTAGAAAATAGAATATTAGTAGGAGCGCAGTAACAACTGCGCTCCGATTGGTCAGCCCGAATTCGAAACAGTTTACGGGTGTCGTCAATTGTTTCACTTCAATACGACCAGTTTAACTAGAGCTTTGCTATAATGGACGTAAATTGCAAAATTACATATTTAATAACCAATGAAATGTGTTTTGTAATTAAAAAAGAAAAAATATTATTAGCACATATGAATGTTATCTCTTGGAACTGCTTATCTTTTCTATTACAATAGGATAATAAAACCATTAACACTTTTTTATTTTTTTTATCTTTAATGATCTTGATCATGGACGCGTTAATTGCTATTGCTGAATTCTAGTTTTGAATATTTTTTTTTTAAATACGATTGAGTTAGTTCTGCAAAAGATTATGAAGTTTAGAATTAAGTGCCAATGCGTAAAAGTGTTTAAACTAGTTGTTTGCACTATACAGATGGCACGTGCGTTACCGAAACCGCTCACTCTTTTGTCCTATTGTACACTAAAGACGAAGCGATAAGAGACAAATCGGTGCAAATAATATTACATCAACTATACTGCCTCCCCAACGGGAGCCGCGTGATGTTATATAATTTGTCCACTCAACAGTAATGGCACATATCAACGTATTTCTATTTTATGCTCTTAAAAATAGAGCCTGGATACTTTAAGAGTGTTACGGACGGATGCTAATATAATTATTATTCATGCTAATACGATACCTTTTTTAACCAGATAAATCGTTCAATATTAACCTTGTATCTAAACCGTTAAGATTAAATGTTTAATGCAGTTACGAAACGATGAGCGAGAAAACTATAACGCCAAATTTAGTTAATTAGTTGCAATGGAGTTGCTTGTGAAATGGTACGTCCAGGGCACTAATTTCACCTTACATATTTCTGCCGCCTGTGAGCATTACTGCGTTCCGGTTTGGAAAGGTAAGGGTGCTGGTGATATTACAGGCACATGGGACTCGTCAACTTATGTCTCAGGGTAACGGGTGCAGTGTCAGTGCCCCTAAGACCTACCACCAGGCACACGACTTGTTCGTGTCGGCACCGGGTATTATAAAAAAAAATATATTAACAATGCAATCGCAAATTTCCGTAAAACTCGAATAACTCTGAAGCTAGGACTTTAGAAAATGGTACTGTAACGGTATAGAAATAAAACTTTGTTTCTTAGAAACTTCTTACGCTTGTTTCTTCTTTATATTTCTTTCAGGAAAAGGAACTGAAGGACGAGATAGAACAACGCAAGTTAGCAATGACTGAGTACAGCGAAGTCACCGAAAGACTCTCGGAGCTGAGACAGCAGAAACAGAAATTGTCCCGGCAGGTAATAATAATAATAATAATAACGCACACACTCAACATATCCCCGCACTAGGAAAACCCACTGTCGCGGATGCCATGAACACACACAGAGACAACAACAAGTTACTTTCAAACTTACGAGACAAATAAATGTAGGCCATACAAATATATCTCCCGGTCCGGGAATCGAACCTGAGACCTCTGCGTGGCAGTCTGGCATGGTAATCGTTCGGCGTTCGACCACAGAGGCGGCTTAGGCTTAGGCAGGTTTGTTGGCATCAGCCAGTATTTACGAAATAATTACCCCAAAAATGACTGACTTATATTTTAACCGGCTTCAAAAAAAGAGGTTCTCAATTCGACCGTTTTTGTTTTGTATGTTACGCGATAACTCCGGAACCTTTGTGATTTATGAACAGATTTTGATGATCCTTTGCTTGTCGAAAAGAAGGTACCTCAGTATTGGTCCCATTTAAATTTGAAGAAATTTGAATGAATCCATTTTCGCGCACTTTCCGGTAACCAATTTCAATAAAACTGGAAAATAGATGTCATTCCACGAACTTTTGAGGTCTGTTTTGTAGTACTCTGTACTAAGATTATTATTGCTCTGAAAGAGACGCAATGTGTATCTGTACTTTTGACTCTATATCGAAAACAAAAGTCCGTTCCAAACCACTATATAGGAAAAGTAAACTAACAGGTCACTGACGTGACCATATACAATGCAGTGTAGTGTTCAGCTATTTGCGCTCCCCGTGGACAACGCGCCCACTAAACGTGGTCTCGTGTTCCTAAATTGTCTGGTCGCTGAGGCGCAAGACGCTGATATCTTTGACTACAAATCAAATCAAAGAATTTATTGCAGACTTTGTCCATATCATGTTAGTTACAGAAAACTTATGGCCTTTGTTACTAAAATAGATTGTCAGAGGAAAAAAATAAAATTACATTAGGTTATACACCAAGCCTCTGGAACCCATATGTCCGTAGTTCCAGTGCTTAAATGTATCGCAGACCAACCGCTTGAGGCTGCTGGAACTGTGACACACACACCGCATCAGGGAGGCAGTTCTTTCGCGAACATACCTGATGCACTGCAAAAGCGAGGCAGTCCCAACAGCATCCTAATACCATTATTGTATTGGACACGCAGGACCGTCTTTTTAGTGTAACTTGTCCACAGGCTGCCCATATAAAAAGTTTGCCAGAACGCGTTGAACAAGGTAATTTTAACTTCCTCATCACAACGCTACCTACGGGTCAACATGTTACAAGGTAGTGCTAAAACCCTGCGTTCCCTTTCCATATCGTCATCATCGCAGAGGGTTTCAATACACTACAGCAATAGCAAACTAATTTGTAAAACAAATCTAGCGTATCAAATATGTTAAAGCGTATAAGTGATTTGATTGTTCTGTAAGTTTACGTTGTGTTTTTATAAATAAATAAATTGATATATAAATAGTGATGGCCAATTGTGCTGCCTATTACAAATCAATTAATTATCTGTTTGTAAAGGAACGTGAACATGTTAGAAAAAGTCTTCGTTCCGCATGAAAAATATTTGTTGTTGCTTTGCTCACATTCATGCAACTTCTATGTGTTTTCCAGGTTCGTGACAAAGAAGAAGAGTTGGAAGTGGCAATGCAGAAAATCGACGCTTTGCGACAGGACATCCGTCGGTCTGACAAGGGTCGTCGCGAGCTTGAGGCCCGGCTTGATACTGCCATCGCTGAGTCTACCAAAGTATGTGGTGTTGTCAGATGATACAAGGTTTTAAGGGTTTATTTCGAGGAAAAAAGTTGAAATTGGAATTAAAAAACAATCTAGTTTATTCCTCCATTAGAGCTTGCGCGAGAGCGACATAATTCATAGACATAGTCGCATAGAGAAATCGCGTTTTATCTCACCGTAACTTGCTAGCCCTACAGGTTGATATTATTTAGACAAATGCGCAACTACAGTCTATTAATATCGGGCGAGCTTATAACTTATAAAATTTCGCACTAAACTTTGTGTGTTTGAGCTGTGGAGCGAGCAATGCTCGGCATTTCTCTATGTGATCGAATCAGAAATGAGGAGATCCGTAGAAGAACGAAATTCACCGACATAGCTCAAAAGAATTAGAAAGTTGAAGTGGCAGTGGGCAGGGCACAAAGCTCGTAGAACTGACGGCCATTGGGGCAGAAAGGTTCTCGAATGAAGACCACAAACCGGAAGGCGTTCAGTGGGACGACCCCCTACTAGATGGATGGACGACCTGGTAAGGGCGGCGGGTAACCGATGGGTGTACTGATGATCGTGTCCAATCAGCTAGTCTGGCAATTTTTACGGGAGGCGTATGTTCAGCAGTGGGCGTCTTCCGGCTGATATGATAATGATGAAACTGTGTGAAAATTTTGAAAAGCGATAATAGGTTTTTTTACATTTTTTTTAGGGATGGAAAATTATTATACACGGTGGGTTACTTAAGGCACTAGACTAGTACTAGGCAAGAAGATTGACTTCTTATCGTACCGATATTTATATCAGGACTTTGAAGTATATTGCCTTCTTGACTTTTTACAACAATATTATAAAATCGTATTTGGAATGTATTAGGCCGGTAACAAGGTTATTTTTCAAATGTAGAAATATGGGTAGTCTATCGTTATATACTGCTATACGAAAGAAAATCATTCAGTTCATTCAAGTTGTTGTAGTCAATTAGTAAATCAAAACTTTCAATCACAATCAAACTGGTATCTAAGTTTAAGGATTTGAAACAAGATCTATAGTTAAGATTTCGGATTTTAAACTGTCTTTTATAGGTCATGTAAGAAAATATCTTCACTTAGTATCGAATTACATATTTTTTGTTACTAATCGGCACTGAAATCACGAAAGAAACTGTTATCCCACCTGATTCAATTAAACAAATCGATTCATTGAACTAATTGTTTTGTAGTTGGCAGTACAATTGGCCATCACTAAATTGTCTATTGTCGGGTCAATGACCTGTTTGTTTACTGTTTCTGTATTTTTTTTAATATCAAGTGGCGGGACGAACAAGTCGTGCACTTGATGGTAAGCTACACGCCTGTCCATAACAGTTGCATTGCCACTTAGACTTTAAATCGCAAAGATCACCCTGAGCCATAAGTTGACAAGTCCCATGTGTCTATAATTTCACCAGCACCCTTACCCTTCAAAACCGGAACGCAGTAATGCTGACATTACAGCTTGACGGCGGAAATAGGTAAGATGGCAGTACTTCCCTGGGCGAACTCTATCACAAGGAGCTCTACTGCTGCGAATAGATCGAAAAGAGCTGTAATTTCATTTTGTACATTTTTAATGCTTGTTTTAAGAGGTTGTAGCGCAATAGAAAACACTAGCCTTAACGCGCATTGGTGCGAAGGGCTTTGTATGAAAACGTTGTATAGACGTAACATGCTTCGTTAATGACAGGAACGCAAACTCCGCGAAGAGACTCTCCGCGGCCAGCGCGTGGAGACCGGCGGCCCGCCCGGCTCGGCCGCCGCCGACGTCGCGCGGCTGCAGCAGGAGGTCGACGCCTTGGAGGTAACTCTTCTTCACGCTCTGTTTGCTCAGCTGTCTATTGATGGATGGACGCTCTTTTCATCTGTCAACAATTTTTCATTATTATTAGAAAAAAAGACGATTATGACGGGTATACCAAATTGTTACAACGTCTTAGTCGATCCAGTCAGAAAATGTGCAATATAAGTAGTGAATAGGCAGGTTTGGGTGCGCGTTTAGTATTCAAATCTATAGAAGATAGGTCTAATAAAACGTCTTTAGTGATTTCCAGACTAGATCGACTAAGAATTTGTAACTATGGGATAGTGAAATACTGATTGCGCCGGAGTCGATTCAAAAGCGTATTGGCTCTGCGCAGGTGAGAATTGACACCGAAGAAAGCCTGATGAGCAGTGCACTTAAGTGGCACTTAACTAAACCGCTGATTTGCGCGAGGTGTAATGCTCCCGTCATCGTATTGGTTAATGTACACAGTTACAACTACATTATGCATGCCATGTGAAATAAAGTCTTAGTTTTTTTTTCTATCATCGCGCATTAGTTGGAATTGTTTCAATCCCTGTACAACGCTGTATCTTTTTTCCGCCACTTCGGGAAGTGTGTTTAACATCTTTACCAATTAAAAAATCTTTACACATAGTATTTGAAACAGTATAAAATAGCCAGAATTAAAATGTTAATTCTAAAAAAGTCTCCTTCCTATTTAATCTGTCTTTGTTAACGTGTAAATTGGCATTGACAAAAGTCAACAATCCTCCACAGCTTCAATACAAGGAGTCCCTTGCTCAGCAGCAGGCTCGCTATAACGCAGAACTCGCGGCTATGAGGGAACAGCTCCAAGAAGGCGACGCTATGCGCAACGTGCTTAACCGAGAGGTGAGATTTTTTTTCATTCTATGTAACTTTCATGTTTCTCTATAATATCATAAACACCCCCTAGTTAAATATAATGTACATGATATAGAACAGTGGTTCAACTTATGCCATAATTAAAAATCAGCACGCGCTATCTCAATTGCACACAGTGTATATTGCTCACGGATGAAAAAAGTAATGGAAGTGCCTTAAGCCAGGGTTCCCGTCACTCGCTCAAGGTTACGCGATAACTGCCTATCGCTGAGTGTACCGACGTCGACACAAGCGCTCATACAAGTATTTCCTTTATGAGCACTCAGCTCCGCACCGCACACGGCGGGCAACGTTATTTTCACCTCTCTTGAAACTTTCGAGGAATTTGCGCGAGATAATTGACACGACCATTAACATACAAAGCGAAAATGCGGACTGAGCTCAAGTTTGCGGAACTCCGCGAACTGTTGACACACGTGTTACGCAAATTAAGCACTTCTACTGTATTTATTGTTCTTTGACTCAACTGTGGGTTACCTACCGGGTGATGGATAATGGAGAAGTCTTGTTTATAGTCTGAAGGTAGGTTTATTGAACAGTTACCACACACATAAGTACCTAAGTCACCAGCACAGAGAACAGCACTTAGCAGGCAGGCGATAGTGAAGTGAGAGCACAAGCAGGCACTGGATAAAGCCTAGGAGGCAAGGAAAGCGTCAGCACGTAAATAGGCGCGCGCGCAGCAAAGCGACGTAGGGACGGTGCGAGTGTCTAGCGGCGACTGGTTCGGGCGCGCACGCAGTGGCCGCATGCTCCGGCGCTCGTGACGGCGAGGGCCATACTCGATGCAGGGCCGGAATTGGAGTGGTTGAGTGGTCCCACACTACAATTTCTAAATAAATTGTCCAGTTACTCAGCGTCTTCACGAGCATCATTCTGTTCCTCCATCACGCATAAAAAGTAACAGTGAGTTACACAGATGGGTGTATGAAAATAGTTACACATAGTGATGATAAAACGTAACAGGGCAAAGCTGGAAACTTCACCAAACAAATCTATCACCGTCGCTTGACTTGGACTTTAATTGTCTCTGGATTTTTATTGTTTTTTTTTGTAGAAATCTTAAATCGTAAATCAATAAGTTATTTGTCACCCTACAAGCTCGGAAAGGCTTTCTTTCTCTAAAAGCGTGTCTTCCACTTTAGCGTGAAAAAGGTTTTTGAAATTCCAACTTGACGCGATTTGTCGTACATTATTTATGTAATATAAATCCGTTGGTATATTTTATTCTTATTATTCTTGACTTTAAATTAACAATGATAATTAATTTTGTTTTTTAAAACTGATTTTCTTTTTCTTTCATCTACCATTTTTAGTGAGGTGAAAAGTTGTGTGTTTTGCTCGGCAGCAAAGTTGTTTTGCGTCTCGTGCTTTAAAACCCTCGCTACGTTCAGGATTCTATTTTTGAACCTCTCGCTTAGCTCACGGTTCAATCTTGGAATCCTTCGCTTGGTCAGGTTTCAATACAAGCACTCGCATTAATTTTTGACGTTTTTTGACGTTCTAGGTATGTGTGTTATGTGCAAATCTGGATACATAACACGTCAAACAACAACTTTGCAGCCTTGCATAACAAAAAACTATTGTAACTATGCATCTGAATGAATTTTCAGCTACAAACATCCAAAGAGAAGCTGGAGAGCCGTCGCCTGGAGCAGCTGAGTGATAGCGAGGACAAACAGATGCTCATCAACGAGAACAGAAAACTCGCCAAGGACCTTGACGCTGTGAGTACAATCGGTGTTTAAATGATCTCAATATTGAAATACGTCGAAATACATTTAACAATTAAACAAAAAAGCCGTGGTAACAATGGTTTTGCTTCTTCGTCTTAAGTGGGTTCGGATCAGGGCTACTACTACGTACTACTACGAACCATAGTTTCTCGGAATTTACCATGCAATTTACTATGAGCTGATAGGTGAAGGAAAACATCGTGATAAAACCTGCAGTCGAAGAAGGTTCACGACCCTCGGAAAACGGGTGAAGTCCCCAACCCGCGTTGGGCCAGCGTGGTGGACTATGGCCTAAACACTAACAAAATATATTTTATGTTCTCCGACTGTTTTAATGACCCCTCTCCGACTTGAATTCGTCACAAAGTTTTTTTAATTTATAATCCAGTTTACATTTAGTTTCTCGAGTCTCTTCCTGTTCGTGTAGAATGATGAATATCTAAGCTTTGTTCTAAAAAGTCGCGCGTAATAGATTTGAGCCATCAGTGCTACACCAGAAGGATGATCGGAGTCCATGCACTTTGGTCCATTTTATTCTAGTTCCCGTGAGACATTAGGTCATTGATGTCCAGCTGTAGTAAAGGACCTTATTAATAATATCACCGATGAAACTTTTTTCAAGATGGCGGAGAACGGGCGGCGATGGCAAGCGGAACGACGGCAGTGGGAGATGGAGCTCGACGAATTACGGGCCAAGAAGGAAACCATGCAGCACTGGGAGAACCAGGTGCGAAGGGCTAATAACAAAATGTGTTTTCATAAATATAATACATTATTGCTGAGACCGGGAAGTAAGGGATTGCTGGACGAGGATGGGTTTACAATAACGAGCGCCAGCGAGGCCCTTGTATTAATTAGTACGAGTCAAGCAATCCCCGTTCCCGCCGAAGCATGTATAGAATTTTTCTCAAACAATGTCGGGAAATAGTAGAATGCTAAAGAGAGGAAGACGTATAATAGAAAAAGTAAGAAAAGAATATTTAAAGTAATATTTGACGCGTTAGGACAATTGCTAAAAGAAAATGTTATTGTCTTTCCAGGCACATTAATTGTCGTCTGCTGAACTTCTGATGATGTGTTCGAATGTGTATCTATTACTGTATTGTCGTTACCGCTCTTCTCACTGGCACTCATTTTCACGTCCAAAATAAAAAAAAACGAAAAACAAAAGAATACCAAAACACTTTACGTGTTACAGCCATTTTCTTTTTTTTAAGTAAGCAGTATAGGTAGGTATTTTTAATTCTTGCAACTACTAACAATGGGCTGTTGGCTGTGTGAGTTTTTCTTCCACCTGTTTACGTAGTTTCGTTATTCGTAGGTAGATTTAAAAGTTTAAAGAAGTGTACAGTAATGGATTTTCATACTTTGCAGGCATTGGCCGGGAAAATGTCGCACGATCCATAAGTGACAAACTTTCCGTGTTCGTTTTTTGAAAATAATGCAAACATTTTTTTTTTTTTTTTAATTTATTTATTGTATAAAGGACAAAATACACAAATATGTTTCTAATCGCATTTTAAACCACTAAGGTTTGTCATAATGCGACCTGTATCTACATACGTGCATGTTTGAGAAAAAAATATTATTATTATCATTATTAATACGAAATTCGTATATAAAAACGTAACGTCACTAGGGACATGAAAAAACGTATACCTTACCTGTAAACCTGTTACCTTTTACTTGTAAACCTGTACTGTATTGTACGTTTTAATAGGAACCAGAATTTCTCTACTCTCCTACATATTTATTAGCTTATACTGATCGACGCTGCGTCTTCGTTAAAATACAATATTGTTTATAGTTAGCGGACATCATCCGGTGGGTGGCGGATGAGAAAGAAGCCCGTGGGTACCTTCAAGCGTTGGCTACGAAGATGACAGAGGAGCTTGAATATTTGAAACACGGTAAGCGTAAATATCAGACAACAACGTCCTTACTGGACTGCTGGGGTTGTCTACATACTGTAGCGCCTCGGGGATGTTCGTGAAAGTTAGGATTGGTAATTTTGAAGCTGTAGTTCGCAAGAAAGTGGCATCCCGGTTGGTAAAAGAGAGAGGCAGCACCAACAGTTTCCTGCTAACATGACAGGGTGCGAAGGCGCGAGAACGACATAAAGCGCGAGATAACAGCTGTTGTCGCATAGACATCTCGCGCTTTATGTCGCTTCCGCGCAAGTCGCGCTTGTTCGTGCCAGCCCTACTGAAGGTGATAGCAGAAAGGATGGACAGCTCAATCCTTGGTGATTTAATGAATTGAAAGTGAACATTTTGCATTCACTATAGGTCGATCGCTTATGTCGGACTTAGGGATGCACTCACTCTCATATGCCTCTGAATCGATTAATCGATCGATCGAATTTTTGATAGCCATTTCGGTCTCAGTTCGGTTAGGACTTTCATTTAGAATGATATTAGCCAGTGAGAAAAGACGTTGAGATAGTATCAATCGATCGAGTAGCAACAATCGCTAAATATTTATTATACTTATATGTTGCCAAACTACTTTTCTTGCAGACCTATATAAAATAGGATTAGCATTACGATTCAGTAGGGCTTCAAAAAGAGACTGTTTTATTTAAATTATGAATACGATATAGATGACTCGATTCGCCTTAATGTTAAAAAATCGATAGGTCGTATACATTCGAATCGATATTCATAAAACTCGGAATTGCAATGTGCAACCCTAGTCGGACAATGTCGGCCACGCACAACAAAGGGAATCCCGGCCGACAGGCGCAATTTATACTCCTCGCGCGTCCAGGCCGTGGTCTAACTTAAGCGGTGAACCTATTACATAGCGGTCGACCTTTTTTTTTTATAAAAAATAAGTGCGCATATGACCTCCATCTCACCTGATGGAAAGTGACCATGAGGTCGAGGATGTAGCATGCACACCTAAAAATAATGCCTATTCACTCTCGTCTTGAAAAGGTCCAAGTTATAGCGTTCGGGGAACAAGTCTGCAGGCAGGAAATTCCACTCCCCAGCCGCTCGCCATACAAATGTGGAAGCGAAACGCTTCGTACGAATCCGGAGAATATCCACAACATAGGGGTGGAAGCCCACGTCTAGTCTCCCGATGATGGAAAGGCTGAATCAAATTATGCAATTCCATCGCACACTCTCCGTGATATATCCTGTAGAATACCGATAAGCAGGCAACTCTACGGCGGTGTTCAAGGCTCTGCAGCTTCGCCTCTACTAGTTCCGAGTCACCTATAAGCCTTGCAAGCCTAGCACGCTTGTCTATTGAATCCAAGGTGGCCAATTGGTATTTAGCAGAGCCATCCCATAAGTGGCAGCAGTACTCCATACACGACCGGACTTGTGGTTGGTACAGCTGAAGCAACTGTCCCGGTGTGAAGTATCGCCTCACCTTGGAAAGGATGCCAAGCTTCTTGGCTGCATTTTTGCCCATGGATTCAATGTAACTGCCGAAGTGCACATTGGACGACTGGTCCATTCCAAGTAGGTGAAGACGGTCGGTTATCGGTATGGATAGATCACGAAAAGTCGGAGTCAGGTGAAAGGGACTCCGTTTAGTGGAGAAAAGACACGCCTACGTTTTGGTAGCATTAAATTGCTACCAAAACGCTTAAAAGGCTTGCGTGCCAGACCCTGTCAAAGGCCTTAGAAATTTCTAAAGACACTGCAATGGTTTCGCCATGCTCTTCTATAGCCTCGCTCCATAAGTGAGAGGCATACACAAGAAGATCCCCAGTAGATCGCCTTCTTCGGAATCCGTACTGGCGATCACTGAGGAGATCGTTGTCTTCAAGGTACGACAGGAGACGGTTGTTAAGTACACGTTCCACAGTCTTGCAGAGTATGGAAGTGACTGAGATAGATCTATAGTTGACAGGGTCAGCTCTGCTTCCTTTTTTAAGCACTGGTTGCACATTTGCAAGCTTCCACGACCTGGGAACTACACCTATAACTACAATTAGGTGCTTACTAACACTACAATATGGACTGTAACTATAAATTGTGTGTAACGATTATGAGCCCTATGTCTGTGCGTTAGCGAGCGCGTCGTCAGCTGGCGGAGCGCTGGCGTCGCCGGTGGCGGCGGGCGCGGGCGTGGGCACGGGCGGCTGGCGCAACCGGCGCAGCCAGAAGCTGGACAAGATGGAGATCCTCACGCTGCAGAGCTCGCTGCACTCCGAGATCCAGGCCAAGCAGGCCGTGGCCGAGGAGCTCAGCAGGACGCGCGCCGAGTTGCTCGCCAGCCAGAGGTAATCTGTCTTTCATACGAACGCAAATTACCCTTCAAATCCTCACATTCATTAAACTCTCCTCCTCGTTAGTAAGTTTTGTTTATAGTACGGAACTGCCTTACAGCTCCGCCATCCTCCCTGGTCTCGGTGCTCCCGGGTTCAATTCCTGGGCTAGAAAAAATATTTCTGTGGCTCTAGTGAAGAGGGATACTAGTCAAAAAAGCCAACTTTACTAGGAAACGCAATGAGCACTTAACGCTTAATATCGTATTAAGCTTTAACTGTTTTTCGCGTTTCAGTTATAGGTAACAATTTTTAAATTTATTTGAAAAACAATACCCATGTTTTTAGCTCAGTCTTAGTTGGGTAAATATTGTGTTCGCTAACGTGTTTCTGGTCCCAAACAGAGAGCTGCTAGAAACGCGCGCCCGACTGGACTCGCTCGCCCACGACATGAAGCGGAAGGAGCAGCACATCCGCGACATGCAGGCGCGCCTCGACCAGCCCACGCCGCACCCTGCCACCAACTCCTGTGAGTATTGGCCATCTTGTACTTTTACAATTCGACACAGCTCGGTGTTATGCGGTCATAATTTCACACATAAATGATTCAATACTTTGGTTAGGAAAGAAAGAAATATATATTTCGCACACGAAACCATTATATTGTCGTAACTCAAAATTTTCAAATTGAGAGAACACGTTTTGAAAATAAAAAAATAAATAAAAAGAAACGGAATGAAACCAATATCGTTTATAAATGGATAATTAAGTATTACTTATAAAAAAAAATCACATTATTATCCATTTAGTATTTTTTTTTTATATTCAACTTGTGATTTCTCAATTCCGCAATTTTCAGTTACGACAGCATTTGGTTTCACGTGTGAGTTCTTTCGTCTCTTTGAGATCTAAACTGGCGGATTTTTTTTATTCAGGTCTCGTTTTAACCAATATTACCTTATTTAATTTCTTAATTATTTTCACAAAACATACTTTTAATAACGGGCTTACCCAATTATACTTAAAATTGTTTTAAAATTTCAACTTTTTTGCCCACACGGTCGACTTTCAGACTTCATTTTTTTACCAACTCGAAGAAACCATGCAATATTTATGAACAATTTTATTTCAGGTTCAATTAGACTTAAACGTCTTCTTATCTCATGACTATTGGTTTAACTTTTTCAGCACAAATAAAGAAACTCCAATAATACTATTTTTCGTTGTACATTTTTTATTTTATAATTGATTAGGCAGAATTTAAAATTACTAACTCATGGCTATTATTGTATATTAGCAGGTTTACCCGAAAAGTAACCTAAACCGCCCAGCCAGCATAAATATTATATTTCCAGTTCGGTATTGCCTTTTAAACTACAGTTTTACCTAATTATCTGTCAAACTTTTGACAGTGTTGCCATTTAAACATGTTTCTAAAACATTTGACAGTTAATTAGTTGTTTAAACATTTAAACTTTGCCGTACAAAGAGTTGTTTTTATTATCTGTAAATTTTATTTAAGAGTTGACATTTAGAACACAATTTGTGCTAATTGTCTGTTTAAAGGGCAATACTGAGCTGGAAAGAAAATGGCAAAAAAATATATAATGGCATCGGGCTGTTTTTTGGTCTTTCGCAGCTGGCTTGTGTAAATGTAGTAGGCCTTTGTCATTCTAGATTAGGTCTGGAAGTGACATGACAAAATTTATTAATAAATCTTTACGTAAGTTTTCAGAGGTAATTTTAAGATTTTACAAAAATATTTTTATTGTCATTTTACCCCCTGATGAATCCTATTTGTTACTTTTTTCTTTTATCGCTTTATGGAGAACTATTCAGACTTGTTAGAGTGTGCACCAGTGCGACTATTGGAGTTTCTTTAAAACATGTTTGTAAAAATTATTATGTTTATTTAGTGCACCTTTTCTTTTTGTTTTCGTTCCATGTTTCCGCAAATTCCCACCCCATACACAAATTGAATAAACTGTGACGTCACACGTCTAACGCTTTGGATCTTGGGCTCCCACTACAAAGTCAAACGTCGTCCGCGACGGAAAAAACGGAAATAAACTGGGAAAAAAACCGAAACTTTACTAAAAACCGGTTTTAACCGAAACTTTTTAATCTATGGACTGTAACTGTGTATATGTTTGAAAATTCGGTTTTAATTTTTTCCCTATGGACTCTAACATGGTGTATTTGTTGAAAATAAAAACGGTTTTTACCGATTGCCTATGGACCTGTGTCTTATATGTAAAATAAAATGAAATTGGAACTGTGATTTCGAAATTCCATTGTGGCATTTTTTAACATTGGGGTTGTGTTATGTAAAAAAACACATTCACATATGGTTAAGTACATATATGTATTATTTGTGGCATTTATATTTGCAATGGTTACGTAAAACGTTACCTTGTGTTTTAAAATATGTATATATTTCCGCGTTGTGCTTTTGTTCTTAATTTTTTTTATTGTAATGGCAGTTCGCTCGTGGCTAAAACCATACATACCTTTATTCATAGGCGTGACTTCTTGTCTATGGGGTGTGGCAATTCTTGTTTATCATCAGATATACGACTGACATATGACGTAATTTATCGCAGTGTGTTCTTTCCATAGTCAATTAACTTTTAAAGTACTTACGGCATAAATAAATATACATTTTTCGTAATGGCACATTTGCCGACTAATTGCGTAAGGCAAAATACCCGGTGACATCAATAACCCGTCTTTCCGGCTCGACGTTTTCTTATCGTACCGATAATATACTATATTATTGTAGCCCGGAGCTTTGTCACGTTAATCGCGTCACTAGTAGCTGTTGAATCCACAAGTGTATCGGTGTCAGGGCGACGCAAGCCTCGAGATGAAAGATGGGCAAACAATCCGGGCTAGAACCTAGAAATTCTCCTTGCTCTGGTTAAACTGAATCCGAAGCCTATTTAAAGACTTCCAGATCGATCATGGCTTTTTATGTCCAGGAGGAAGACTATCAAAAGGTGGGTCAAAGGTATATGACACTCTTTCGCGTCAATAGTTACTCCTCGCCTAAGCTGGTTCATGCTCAACGTCCGACTCAGTGTTGCCATGGAGTCCACTATTTCTACTTCACACTTCAAAAGGCAAGACTGTCATAAATTTGACAAACAGTAAGAATCGTTTTTTAAATGGCAACAACTACTATCTCCATGACTGTTTTCTACGTCCGTTTAAGTAGCCCGATGATTCCCAAAGTGGTCTTTATGGACCCCCAGAGGGGTTCAATACGACCTACAAGGGGTACGTGTCAGCGAAAAACAAAATCGAGAGTGCATGAGACGTTATCGTGTGTTCTACGACAGTGGAACCCATTTAGGCTTTTTTTAGGTCATGACTAAAATTTTAGTGTTGTACATAGATATATACATAATACTGTCTTATAATGGACATATCAATTACCTATGAAGCGAACAGCTCACAACAAACAAGATATGGAGCTATATGAAGTTAGATAAATGTATAAAACTTAACGTGTTTTTTCATAAACTTTCTTACTCTACAATTAAACTTATCTATGTGAGTGGCACTGTGTCATATGTCAAAAACACATTTGATGAACTTGTAAAAAATTCCATATTAAAAAGGTGTACGAAACAAAAAAGTTTGAGAACCTCAGATCAACAAGCCTTACGCGATTAGCCGGAAGTGGTGTCACCGTTTAAGCTGGTCCGTGCTTTATTACATCTCTTTTGTTCTTCGCTCTGCTGAGTTGGGTTGCAATGAGACGAGAGAAACCAATATGGCTTTTTTTGCTTCACAACTTTCATCTGTTAAAATGAAGCTAAATAATCAGAATTCTCACAATTTTTTTGGGTCCTAAAGCTGTTTAAGTTCTCTACATCGAAAAATAATACATTAATACGGTTTAAATTTAATTAAATCTATTATTTTATCGAAGAGAAAACACGTTTATCGTACATTTTCTATATAGAAAATAATCGTTAACACGCAGCAAGTCTCTTTTTATGTTTTTTTTTAAATGACCGTAATTTTTTTTATTTGTAAATTATTCATTTCCATCCTCGGTGTTCTGAAGTTCAAAAAATATTTGTTCACGTTAATCATTTACAATATTTATTTTAAAATATTGTAAATATGAATATGAACAGGAGTCTTATTATAGAAGCGTATACATTGCCCCCTATATGAATTTGTGAAGTCGACCATCAAGAACAGGCAGTATATGATTGTTCCTCGTAACCAAGTGATTGCAAAGCGAGAACAACCCTCTTCATCTTCCCCGCGTCATTGCTTAAAGCGTGGAATAGCTTAAACGGTCAGACTGTAGTATATAATATACACACAAAAATTGCATTTGCTTACGTATAAAGATAAGAACGCAAAGTCAAACAATTTGAAAAAAAAAGAAGAGAAAACATTACACGAGTTAACACCGATGGAAATTTGTGCTCAATAACAGTATAGTTTAGGTTTATATTCTATTATATTATCTTAAATGTTCCGTACCAAATATTTCAAATGGAAATATATGTCTTGTTTTGAGCGGTCGGAGAAAATAAACCGATACGTATTTTTTCAAGTAGAAAAATATAGTACGCATACGTAATACCACAGCATCGGCATTTTGTATTTGCTGTACTGCGTCGTGTTGTGACATTGTTGTTTTAACTAAAAATATATCCCGTTAATTAAAATCTTAAAATTATATTTATTTATTAACAAGCAAATAATTTTATAACATTGATCCTTATAGAATTGAAATAAAATTTAAATTACAAAATAATTAAATACAATAAAATTTGGCAAATTTGACAAATTAAATAAGTTATAAAATTAAAATTAAATTATGTATACGAAAAATGATTAAATTTTGTCAAATAATAAACTTTAAATAAAAATTGGAAAAAAAAGGATCACAATCGTCAACACAGATAAAATAATAATGTACATTAATTATTTAAATATTCCTGAAGCGAATAGAAACATTTTTTAATGAGGTACTCTATAACGTTTTTTTAAATTTGATTACATTTCCTTCTTCTTTAATATTGTTGGGTAAATTATTATAAATTTTCACCAACATTGCTAAAGGGCCACTTCGAAACATTTCAATTTTACATATGGGCTTGGCAAGCTGTATTTTTGGTCTTAAATTTTGTGGGTTTTGTGGGTTTATTGAAATCGGTTTCCGGAAAGTGCACGAAATCGGATCCGTCCCCTAGTGTGCCACCCTTAGAGGGGGAATATTTTCTTCAAATTTAAATGGGACCAATACTGAGGTGCCCTGTTTCCAACAAAAAATGAATCATCAAAATTGGTTCACAAATGCCAAATGCCGGAGTTATAGCGTAACATATACACAAAGCAAAAACACAATCGAAGTGAAAACTTACATCTTTTTTTGAAGTCGGTTAAAAATGCCTATTCAGTCTCGATTTGAAAAGGCCCCACGTATAGCGTTCGACGAATAGGTTTGCATGCAGGGAATTCCACTCCTTAGCCATTCGCCATATAAATGTGGAATTGAAA